CTATCCTCTAAGTTGTAGGACTACTATAAGGGGGGATAATGTAAGGCCAGATGTCCTAGAACGGGCTAGTATAGCCTCACCTAACCTGTTTGGAGGTTGTATGACCTGTGCTTTATATATAAGCATAAATCCTAACAAGCAAAGCTTGGCAGCGATTTGTCTCTCTTACAATACACTCCTATCTTTCTCCGAAAGCTTGCTCTCAGTGCTATCCGTGCTACTTACCATCCCAGCTTTACAGTTATACATGCGACGCATATAACAACTTTAACCTGTAAGCTACCTAGTTAATAGAAACAGTTTAATAGACACAGTTTAATAGACACAGTCTAATAGACACAGTTTAATAGACACAGCTTTATAAAAATGCTAGGATGGAAACACTTTAATAGACACAGTCTAATAGACGCAGTTTAATAGACACAGCTTTATAAAAATGCTAGGATGGAAACGCTTTAATAAACACACTTTAATAGACACAGTCTAATAGACACAGTTTAATAGACACAGCTTTATAAAAATGCTAGGATAAAAACGCTTTAATAGACACACTTTAATAGACATAGTTTAATAGACACGCTTTAATAGACACAGTTTAATAGACACAGTTTAATAGACACAGCTTTATAAAAATGCTAGAATTAAAACACTTTAATAGAAACGCTTTAATAAAAGCGCTTTAAAGAATGCCTATAAATAGGCTTTTTTAATGTTGTATATAACTCTATAATTTTACTGTCTACAAACTTCTATAAACTTGTACAAACTTCTGCAGACTCCTAGAAACTTCTATAGACTCCTAGAAACTTCTGTAGACTTCTAGAAACTTCTGTAGACTCCTAGAAACTTCTGTAGACTCCTAGAAACTTCTGTAGACTCCTAGAAACTTCTGTAGACTCCTAGAAACTTCTATAGACTCCTGGAAACTTCTGTAGACTCTAGAAAACTTCTGTAGACTCCTAGAAACTTCTGTAGACTCTAGGAAACTTTTATAGACTCTTAAAAACTTTTAATGCAATTATAAAAGGCTATTAATTATTAGAACTTCTATTAGCTTCTAATCTAATTAGTAGCACTACTAGCAATTGCTAGGTCTATAATTACATTAAACTTATCTCTAACTGCGCGCGCGTACTTAGCAATATTAGTAAACTTAGAATTATCTGTAGTGTTAGGTTAGGCAGTTAGATATAGAAGGTCTACAGAGCCTTAAAGCTACACATGCGCGTAGTTAAATTTATTAACCTCTGCCTTAAGCATATTTATCCTAGTAGTGTATATATTAAATAAGTTAAAGAACTTATAGCCTACTAAATTATTTAAGTTTTAAAGCGCTGCTAATCTATCTATAATAAGCGTTTAAGCTAAGAGGAACATGTTTTAAATAGTAATAGTAAAAGTATAACTACTAGGCATATTCTTACTAAAAACTCTTTCTAACGCTATCTACACCTTCCTTACTTAGACATTGTAAAGGCAAGTTTAGTTAAACACTTAATTAATATTATATGTAAAGTTCTTATAGTTTTTTAAATTAATTTTATAGCTGCAGTTAAAATGCTCTAGGCCTAGATTAATTAGCTTAAACATATTTTTCTATCTATACTAGTTTACAAGACTAGATGCAAGGATAGCATGCTATAACTCTACAGTGTTAGCTAGCAAGAGAAGCTAGTAATACTAAAGCATTTTCTAGCTATAATTTATCTGCCTAGCGCTAAAGAAAATAATAATAAGAGGATCTATAAAGTATTATAACATGCTAATATTACTATACCTAACAGCATAGTGTACTGCAAGGAAGAGCTTAATCTCCTAAAGCATGCAACACATAGTACAGAACTTAACATCATCTACACTAGCGCCAGAACCCTACACCTAACGCCTAAAGGTAATAGTGCGTATGTTTTTAACTAACTATAAGAAATTATTTACTAAAAAATCTTTAATAGTGTTCTTTATACAACTAAAGCGCTTTAAGGAGAACTTATTAGTTATATGTTCTAAAAGAAGGCGTTAGCGTTGCATAGCAGCATAGAATAGTGTAGTAACACAGGATGTAAACCTCTAAACAACTAATAGTTCTAGCAGATAGTATTTACTATTATTTTGTGTAAGCTATGTTTAACACTACATAACAACATCTAACTTAATAGTATAGTGTGCAACCTTATCTGCTATAACTAGGCCTTAATACATTTAGCTAATAGTTAATAAAAGGTTTATCTGCACATAAAACTATGCAAGAACACTAAGTAACTACTACTTTTTATTATATAGTTAAGTTACTTAAACCTGTTTACTTTATATTAAGTAGATATTACACGCTGTAAGCTAATTACTATAGCATAACTAAAGGTAATTATTAAAATTATTACTAAAAATATTAGTAGAGTTATTAAGCACATTTAGACCTAATTAATCTAGCTAAATAGTATTATAAACTTTATAAGTTTTACTAATAAACTTTTTTTTATTAAATATAGCACTTAACTAATAATACTTAGTCTTAACTAAGAGTAAGTAGTCTAAAATAAGAAATGCTAGGTATTTAGAAAATGCTTTACTACTAAAGACATGCAATATAGCTTTTAGGTAAAGACACTTAATTAAATTAGTAATAAGACTTTAGAATATGTTATTATTAATACTATCTAGCCTATCTAATCTAGGGCTAAGTACAATGTTCTTAAAATCTAAGGAAACTGCTAGGTTATGCATAGACTAAGTAAGACCTAACTTAGGTAGCTTAGAAGCTAAAATAGCTACAGCATTTATTATGCTTTGCATAGTAGCTGTATAGCTTACCTTCTTATAGCGCGTGCAATCTATAAAGTTAATGTTGTTATACGTAAGTACTAGCTTTAGGTCCTTTATAAAAACTTATAATTTATTCTTTTTAGCACTATTAGTTCTTATTAGCTTAGAGGTTTATAAGTAATTTTAGAAGTTTTAAAAGTTCTAAAAGTTTTAGAAGTTTTAAAAGTATTAGAAGTATTAAAAGTATTAAAAGTATTAGAAGTACTAGATAGTATATATACTTAAGCTTTTTTTATAACCTTATTTATTAGCTTATTAGTGTAATAATATAAATAATATAACTTAAGTCTACTTAAGACTTTAATTACACAACGCTTTGTTCTAGACCTAATAAGATAAGCATCTAGCATAAATACTAAAGTGTTTAATCTCTTCTTAGCCTAAAAGAAGCACATAATACTAGTAATAGTAAACACACACTTTTTAATTACATTAGACTTATTAGCACCTTAGTAGCTTACATATCCCTAGCGTAAATTACATAATATACTTATAATAAAGTTATACTAAGTTAGCGCTTAATTCTAAATAGTTTAACTAGCATTATTAAAGTTAAGTATTAATATATTTATATTAAAATTAAAATTTTTAAAGTATATCTTTTATACTAGCTAATCTAGCTTTAAAGCATAATAATTTATTACATTTTTTATATAAAAGACTTTTATTTTAAAGAGTAAGTCTATTAAAGTCTTTAGCACATACTGCCTATTACACGCCTTATAATACTAGTAATACTAAAGAAGTGTATTGTCCTTTTTATTATCTACTTATTCTAGCATAAAGTCTTAAAAGCTCTATTAGACAGTCTGCAATGTGTCTACTATATACTGCAACTTCTCACGCCGCGACATAGGACTACAACGCCGCGTAGAGGCGCTAGAGATTCTACCTACTTAGGTAAGGTTACTAGAGGCACTTATATTATTATTATAGTTTATAAGTTAATCTAGCATAAATATATTCTTATTTTATTTAATTAAAGAGTTACTTGTTAGCTAAAAGAGCCTAAAAAGTAGGCTTAATAATAAAAAAAAGTTACTAAATAAAGCTATAGTTAGCGCGTCTGCTAGTGTGTCTGCTAGCGCGTTAGATAGAGTGCTAGCATTGTCTATGTTTAATGTATATTATAAAGTAAAATAAGCGCTTTATAGTAATAATAATTTTAAGAATTTTAACGCAGTATTAGAGGGTAAAGTACACTATTAAAGATAGCAACACTAATAGCTAATAAATAAATTAAGATACACATAAATAACTACTATTTTCTCTTAAACCTTTAAGACAGAATTACCTTTTTTTTATTTAGTATGTTTTAATTAGTTTAGAAGTTTTTAGAAGTTCTTAGAAGTTTTAATTAGCTTAGAAGTTTTAGAAGTTCTGTCTATTCCTAAATAAGTTAAGGGCGATTCTAGGTTGAGGGTCTGACTCGTGAGATAACCTGGCTGCACTCTTCGGCGAAGACCAAGCTGTGCTGGCACCTTCGATGGGGGTTGGCGGGGCATGGATTAGAAACATGACATAAGTAAATTTACCATACAAATCCGTTAGATATCGACGATGGTCTGCGCAAACGCAGTAGTGACTTTCCTTGAAGGCGATATGACTGGTTGGCAGGAGACGGCTCACGTGATCAAGGCGACATTCTACGGTCATGTAGAAGGGATCTTCGCTCTACAGTAGCTCGGGCATCCTTATCTCAAGAAGATGGATGACTTCGAGCTCTAGAATGACAAAGCATGATGGATCGATTGTGGGAGTACGCGACCTGCCTCATAAGGGTACGGTTGGGCCAGAAGTTTTCTTGTAGTGTAATTTATATCATAGGGCAGTAGGATCAAGACCTTGGCTTTTAATAAATTTCTTTAGGCTTCTGCTACTGCATTCTAGTAGCCGTGGAAATGTATATGTTTTAAGAGGTAACTAGGTCTTTAGGTTAATGCAAATGATATTGTTGAAATTTCTGAGTAGTATTCTTGGTACGTTAATGCCTACAATGCTACAGTAAGAAAAAGCGGATTCCAACTGCGAAGGGTCTTTCTCGAGTCAGAGTGGGAATTCAGATATTTGTCCAAGATCAGGTGGTCTGCTGCTCCTACTTGAGCTAGGCAGCAGTGGCCCGTGCACAAGCCTACTTAACCCCGCTCATTCCCTTTCCTCACCTCCTCTCCACAGCCGAACACAACATGGCAAGAACGATTCATCATAGGCCGCACTGGCTATCTGATCAGCCAGCGAATTATCCGGGGAAGGCCGTAAGTATCTTTCTCTGCAATGTTGATCACGTTTTCTGACCGTCAACAGACGAAATCATTTAATCGCCAATGTGATGATAGCGACGGGGTTAATTTCTGTGATTGTCAGCAAAGAGAAGGACCAACTGAAAGGTGCATGTACCATGGACGACATGTCGAACCGCTAGCATTTGCTTTGAAGGATATGCCGACCATGCCGCAAGAAGAGTGCCCGCTGTTCTCTAAGCTGCCTACAGAAGTCCGGCAAATGGTTTATGACTACGCTCTAACAGACTGCACGTCGCACCCCCTGGATGGAGACAATCCATATCGCCAGGATTTGTTTTATAACAGCCAGAAGATCACTATCCGTCGCCCTGATATTGCTGTCAATCTGCTTCAAACATGTAGAGCAATATATCTCGAGGCATACAGACTTCCACTATTGCTTAACCCATTCATCGTTTATAATTGGGGTTCGCAACCATCTAGCGATGTCACCCGGCCGTCATTTTACCGACTCGCACCCTGGCAATTTGCTCTTATTCATCGTCTGGATATCAGTCTCCAGCAGATCGCTCTTGAAGGAGACCAGTTGGGAAAGTACCTGATGGCGTGGAAACCCAACGACCGACATGAGGGTGCTGTCGTTGCGCCTCGATTCTACCAGGAGACCCGAAGCATGCATACCGGTGTCGTTACTCATTCGTTCAATTTTGGGATTCTGAAACATTATGGGCCACCTGAAGATGGTGTCGAGGTTACTCTTCCGAATAAAAACTATTTCTATCCGAATATCCACCCCGAGCAGCCAACGTGTTCAACCGCAAGGTCAATGTTGGCCCGTCCAATCACGCATTTGACCCTCCGACTTGCTCCTACAGACTGGTGGACTTGGAGTAGCAGCCCTGCCAGTGCTACTAGTCGTTTTGGCCTTGATCCAACTATTGGGGATGGCGGTAGTTTGGATCACCAACGCCCAACTCCAGCTCGCATGTTGAGGAATGCCGAGGAGAGACGTGCTGGCCGCTGGCCTGTCCAAAGTGTTAGCAAAGAGGGCAGCTCTTCTGGCGCTTCAAGCTGGGGTGCTCGAGTAGCCAAGCTTTCAGACCTCAAAATGCTCGAGCTTGTCCTTCAAACATTTGAAGATAAGAAGGATCAACTAGATTTGGTAACTGATTGTGCAAAGACCTGGACGTTTCCGCTGGACAATTCGCGACACCAGCTTGTTTGGGATGGAAAGGCAGAGAAGATGAGTTTTGAAGGAGAGGACGGGGCTCTTGGTGGCATATATGTTAACGGACACGGATATAGAGGGCAAGCTGGGAAGAAACCTAAGTTTGTGGTGAGCGTCATACGCTTTAAGAGGGTTATCGATCAATGAGTTTGTTGAAGCGTCCTCCGAATCGTCGCACAGGGAATTAGGACCATATATAATCATCATTTTCAACGCGCAATTAAGATATGAAGAAAAACTGAGTGCAAACAATGGATTCTCTACTGCCCTGAGCTTTTCCGTGCACATGGTGAGCGACAAATTAGGTTACCTTGATGTCCGTGCACATACTCCACCCTTCGAACCTTTTCTCTTCCTTCCACCGACCACCTCACATCTCCATAGAAGGCCACGTACGCCACCCCCGCATAAGATCGCCCTCGAAGAAAATGGATCCCAATAAAATGGGGACTAAGATGCTATGCATTGTGCGCGGACCTCGGCATCAACGCGTTGCTGTCGCGATGATGCGGCTGAATAAATCGCGTCACCTTTGAGGATAGACCTTATGGCTGGATTTGATATGGCAGCCTCTATGTTCGCGACGGACTCATTTCGGTGGAATGGAAGAGTAGTCAGTTTGAAGCGGTCGAGGAGGGAAGAGTGCGACACGGAATAAACGCTGCCGACAGAGTCTACTTATGCTGCCCAACAGCTTCCACACCTAACAATTCACACATCTCCTTTTTTTTTCCCTTCATGTCATTTTGTCGTTCTTTCAAATACTTCTGTTCGGTTTGGTCGGCAACTCCACTTTTCGAAGCTTCCAACCTTCCATGGTTCGCACGTTATGAGGCGCGACATGTCGTTTCAGGCAAAAAGATTTGCGATTACCCCAACTATCGGCAAATAAGCTTTTGGAACATGATCCAGTCTTCGCTGTCAATGCAGATCCGATCCTCGAATTTCCTTCGCCTTTAACGTTCCAAAAGACACAGATGATCATTTCAGCCTGTGTCATTCGCCATTCTCCCGTGTATTAAGCGGCTTCGCTCATCTCCTGAAGGGTTGGAGTTCGTTGGACAATGGCGGCTTTGCGAACACATCTCAATCGCAAACAAAGCAGTAAATTTGGCCATGATTGGCCGCCACAATTTTGCAGAATGCAAGATAAATGCGAACGACTTGATCTGATACCGCCTCAGTTACGGAGGTGGAGATGGTTCGGCTACCCAATCGAACTGATGGTTCAGGTAGGGATCCGAAACTGTGCAATGGTTCCGTAATCACAGCCCTACCGCGAGCATTCAACTATTGCATACGGCGCTGCACCTCTTGCCCTTCAACTCTGTCAAGATCTTCACGATGGTTTGTAGCGTAGGTACCATGATCCGGCTGTGCTGGATTCTGTGTTGGATTCTTCCTCTCGTTAATTGTGATTTTGGCGGTCCTGGTGGTCCTCCTGGTCCTGGCGGTCCTCCTGGTCCTGGCGGTCCTCCTGGTCCTGGCGGTCCTGGTGGTCCTGGTAGTCCTGGTGGTCCTGGTGGTCCTGGCGGCAAGGGATTCGATCGATTTCATGGCGGTGGCAGGTTTGGTCCTGGGGGTGGAAAGCATCGTGGCTTTGGACCGGTAAGCACCTTAGCATTTCTCTCCTCGAATCTTTACTAGGATCGTCCTCGATGGTTTGGAGAACTTGGTCAACACAAAGGTCGTGGCTTTGCGCACAGAACCTTCTGACTCGCAATACAGGGCTTCAAAGGAGGGCAAAATCAACCTGATGGGACTGATGGGACTGACGTGACTGATCCGAGTGATTCGCAACAAGAGCAAGGAACTTTGCAGGCACAGGATGGAACTCAATCAACGGAAGCAGCAGCTCCTCAAGCTTCTGTGGTCGCCGAGCCTCCAGCATCTACAACTATTCTACCCGACGTAATCAGCTCTGCTACTCCAGAATCTGTTGCCCCAGCATCTGCTCCCCTAGCACCTGCTGCCCCAGCATCACTAGGTGCCGCTGTAGGATCTGCAATTCCCATTTTCGACCCTCCTTCTAGTATCGACTCTGCCGCAGGGGGAGCATTGCCAGCTTCAGTAGCAGCCCCAGTCCCCATTATATCTTCTTCATCCATCGTTATCAGCGACTTATACAACACCGCATTCCCAAGCGATGCAACAGCTGTCCAACTCAAACCCACAGCCACCGTCACCATGGTCACATCTATGACCATCCTGGTAACCCCATCCCCTATCAACAGCCCCGCCGCCATCTCAGAACCAACCCCAGCAGCCGTATCTACATCTACTCCCTCTTCATCCACAATCCTGGACCTAGCACCCCTTTCCACCTCCCCCGGCACCACGATGAGCGCTTCAGCCAAAGCCGGCATGGGTGTCGGACTCACATTCGGCATTATCAGTGTCGCGGCTATCTCAGGCCTCTACCTCTACCGCCGCCGACGCAACCAGCGTTACGCCCGCGACAACATGGGGGGTGGTCTAGGCGGCTTTTTCAAACTCCCTCGCCGCGAAAAGAACGATCAGGAATGGGAAATTCGCTCCGCGGAAAAAGTTGAAATCGTAAACGTGCGCGGCACAGGTTCACGGAGTGTACGATCGACTAGTCGTAGCGAGGGTAGTCATACTGATAACAGAGGTGAAAGTCGCGGTGGTGCTACTGGTGCCGGTGCTGGTGCTGGGGTGGGAGGAGGAGGAAGAGGAGGAGGAGATAAAGTCGGGACAGAGGTCCTGAAAGTCGGAATGCGAGTCCCAGATCGTCCGAATCCGGCGCTGACGTCGAATCCTGTGTCGCCTGGGCCTAAGGCTGGGAAGACGTCGAGTTGGCCTTTACCGGAGTAATGAGGGGGTTGGGGGAAGAGGTTGAGGGGTGCGATGGTCTCGACGAAGGGGGTTGAGGATTTGCCGGTTGGTTGGCTCTGCAGACATATGACAAGTTGGCGGGTTGGAGGGTTGTGTTACGATATTGATATGGAGTTCTTCGGTTCCGATCTCATGGCGTGGTACAAGTAAGATGGTTGTAGAGCTCGGCGTGATGGGCCAAGTGCGTCATTGAAAAACATTAAGCTTAAAGTAGTCTTAGGAGTATCGGCTGGTTGGTTTGGCTTTTCTTGTGTCGCAGGTTGGATGGATGGATGGGTTTATTTGAGATACCTTGTACCTTTAGTATTTTCTTGGAGCGCTTTTTGCTCTCCACTTCCAGTCTTTACCGAACAATTCTTTTACAGTTTGGTGGAGGTCTTCTGCTCGTGTTTTGCATGGAGTGATCTACGGATATGACTATGAGTGAATCGGCCTTTGAGCACCTCGCGACACCAAGTGAAACGGTGTTTGAGAAAAGACTTAGATTACCACATCATTTATATCGTCCATCTCCTCATTGACTCGGTGCATATTAAACCGCAGATTATAGAGGCTCGACATGACACGTTACCATCGTCACCCATCGCATCTACTCGAGACCCTTTATCTAACCCAGACCTTCTACCGACCACATCTGCCTTCCTGTTGATGTAAGATTCCTATCCCACTGAGATGGACTAAGCCGAGAAGATAGAACTAGTCTTCTCTAGCTATATCTACCAACCTTAGCAGCGTTCGAGAGTGGCATTGGGGTGGGAATGGTAGTATTGTTGTGGGGAGCTGCCGTCACTAGAGCCAAGAGAGTAGTGATGGGAGTTGACAAATCTGAAAGAAAGTGGGACGGAAGGTCTAGCGAATGCCTTCTGATTTCTCCATCTAATAGAGTCTGCTTTGCAATTTGGAATACACAGGATTGGGATTTGGCGTCTACTGAGGGATATTCTAATCATACTACGTGGGCATGATAGTGATGAGAATAGCTCGGTATGAAGTCGATAAAGGAGGAATGCTTCATGGGGTCATGTAGAGGGTTGAAGTATCCGGCGGGTCGAAAGACTCGCTAAAGTGAAACATCTAGTCATATCTACTTAGAGTTGAAATGGCTTTCGAAGTTAAGAAGTTAGAAATCACATTAGTGAATGTCATCCTTGTAGGGATGATATGTATTTCGTGGATTGCTTTTGAGAGATGATGATCTTTACATCCCTGTTGGAATCTGAATGAATATCCTGTTGCTGATGCGGTGCACCGTGGTTTCAAGAAGATACAGAGTGGGGATTCGACGCAAGATGTTGGTATGCGGTACTTGCTTGCATTCAGCTGAGGTCGTGGTCCGGCGCACCCATGCTCCACTCTCATGCTGTCTGTGAATCAGAAGGGCGGAGGGCAATGTGGAAAGAAACTAGGAATGGTTGAAGAGATGAGCCTCTAAAAATCCAAAGCCGTCTCACTAATCATAAATCCATGAAACCGATCGATGCTGCTTTAGGGAACGGAGAAAATTTGTCAAAAAAGCGGCTACTTGTGTAAGCGATCCCCTTCCAGCCTTACCATAGCCTTGGGGCCCTTCTATCATCTTCCGACTTACTCTTTCTCACAATATCCGCCAAAGTATCTAATACTTGTTATACTGGCCCGTTAATGCGGGTTTCTGCACCATACTTCTGCACCTGGCCTTCTTTGAGCCAGCGGCAGCCTAAATCTCTTACCCAACTTTCAGTATTTCCTTGGCGTATGTCTCACTCGTTTACGCAATCCCAATTTTCGATCATTTTCTTCAAGTATTTATGGATTATACACCTTTTTCTCGCTCTAGGCTATCATATTGAAGACTGCTTAACCAGCCGCACAGCTCCCGTTTTTCTTCCACGGACGTTATATTAATTTCACGGTTCCCTAATTTGTATTGTTTAATCATAGTTTGTGTATTGTTCTAAGTATAGCGTGCCATCTTTTTGATTTTCGCCGTTGGCCATTACTTTCTGGATACAAGCTTTTCTGGACTCTAAGCACGAGACCTATCCGGCCCCATCATATACGTCATGAACGCCTTTTTGTCGAACCAAAGCTTACCCTGTGGCGAAATTCTTTCGTGGATTCATATTTGACCGCACGTTCAAAATAAGCCACACACGCAAGTCGGGAACTGGTGCGGCTGTTTGCAACCGTAATCTTTGTTAGGTCTATTGCAATTGGCTGGCCAGGCTAGCCGAGCTGGTAGAAAGCCATAAATGTCTCTCCGATCTTCCCGGGCGAAGGAGTTCGGGAACGACATTCGTGTAGTATCAGCTGCCATCGCCACCACTCATTATAACCTATCCAATCGCTTTTTGTTTTCAGGGTACGTTGAGGAACGGACTCTTCAGGAATGATTTTACCAAAGGCGGAAGATGAGGTGAGAGTGAGGGTATACGCCTGTTTCCCTTCCCCCCGATCCGTCCTCGTTTCCTTTTCCACTCTCGTTTCGTTCAAGGCCACTGCTAGGACCGGAATTCGCTCTTAGTTTTGGATATTTTGCTTCATTTCGATCCTACAACGTTTGCTCTCCTCATTTTCCGTTCGTCCCAACGCACCGCCTTAGACTCTCGATACTAATCTGCCTACCTCGTCATCCCTCGAGGCCGAGCCTGCTCACAGCCACACATATAAATTCCTTATTACCGACCGAGGTGCGACCATATATGCGCCACAATCACCTCCGCCACATCTCACGATACCAAGCAGCTCTGGAAGAATCTTGGTCCTAGAGACTGCTTGTTAGGCATTTAGTCTTGGGTAGATGTAGAGAACGCTCGTGCCATCTAGCAGAAATGAAGTGGGCAAGCTGGCTGATATTTGTATGACAGAGAAGTTGAAAGAGCGCTTCGTGCGGACAAGGTAAGCCCGAGCTGACTACTTGGAGTGAGACAACTCACTAGCAAACTCATACGCTAACATATAGACTTAAGGGCAAGATCAGAACGAGGGAAAGGACAAAAACATGGGAAGACTTCCTATCGAGTTCATGGGTGGAGAGACGATGGCTTTGGGGCCACTGCAACACCACCCCCGCCCTACAATTGTGTGGCCCAATCCTCTCATGTTATAAATCACCACTGTTATAATCCTTAGTTGCCTTCTTCTCATGGTCTGCACGTTGCAACCGAGTTTGCAGCGCGCTCTCATTGGCATTTAATAATCAGTAACGGCGAATTTTGTGCGACAAGTCGAACGGTGCATTCGCAACCTCACGAGGCAGAATACGCAATACAAGACTGAACAACAGTGAAATAGGGCTAGGATCGAATCACTGCCTCGAAGTCGCGTGTTGTCTGGAGGAGTCGGAGACTCGGTGTTGGCCGACCTGGCAAAATGCGGCGTTTTTCGAGGATCATACGGCGAACATCAGTTCAGCGTCTGACGCTGACTCGCACGCCGAGCTATCGTATCCAGGCCGAACTGGTGAGGCTCGGCCTATAAGAAATATGTATTATCTTGAAAACACTGTCTGCGCTTGATTCTGCTAGATTTCGCCTGCATAGAGACAGCATCCAACTCTTAAAAGAAACTTATAGTAAGGCGTGATATATAAGAATATATTGCCTCACCCCTCTCTTCTTGTCTTTCTCTCAATTCAACAAGATCCCCGATCCTTCCGAATCTTGTCGTACTGTCAAAGCAGTATCTGCAATTCCAATCTCTCCAAATGGCACTGGCCCGCGGTCTAAAATACCTACCATCCTCCTCCTTCCGCACGAGCGCCCCTCGCCGAAGCCATGCATATAATTCCTCGTCCCCCATTCATACTCAAACTTTTTCCACGACGTCAATGACGGCTAATCCCACCTTGTCTGGATCCTCGGTTCCTCCCCATACTTGCGAAGGCTACCACCACATTCCTCCAGGATCTTTTCTCTTTGGGATTGGGACTTGGGCTGATAGCAGTAGGACTAATATCAGTGCCTATTGTGGCAGAGAAGATGTTCGAGAGGATAATAGATATGATGTTGATCAGAGGGCCACTGCAAATGGGGATGCGAGTGATTGTCCACCGATACCAAGATTGGAAGTGAGAACAACACTACAAGGGGTTGTTATCGAGGAAAAGGACGAAGAGAACATCGAACTAAAAGCGAAAGGGGAAGGGAATGGGAATGGGGTAGGGGGATATGGTCGCCCTATCTTCCGGCAGTTGCCGGAGATCTTCCCACTTGAGTTCAAAGGGGGAAAGGAGATATAAAGTGGCTTTAGACTTCTCACCAATCCTACTCAAGGATATTTTACCCTCAGCTAGGTACCAAGTTTCTCATCTCCCTCTTTTCTTACCTCCTCTTTTTTGCCCACTGCAACTGCATGTAGCCCTAATGGTTTAGCCAGCTGACCAACCAACACCATCTTCCCCGAAGCCTCCCAAGCAAGATGAGCGTCCCCCAACCGTCTTAGAAACCCTCTTGCCCTATGCTCCTACTCCGAACAAGTCCTCCCGCTCTCCCTCTCTTCCCATCATTAAGGACATCCAAAACGCCTTCCATCCACGCTCTTATCTGTAGTTAGTCTCTGTACAGCCAAGTCAAACCCTCTTCTCCTCTCCTGTGGTTTTCGAGATTGCGTATATCTCCCACGCTAGCATTGGCATCTAACACCCTAACATTAGTAGCTTTTCACCGCAAGTCAGGTGTAGGTATGTGGCTGTAGAAGGGTGGGGCGATTGGGGAAGGAAAGATTTACAGTAAAAGCCATGACAATTGAACTTGGGAAATGCGTGATTTTAATCACCGTCTCCTATTACATCCAAATCAGCTCCTCAGACCTGGACTTTTAGCCCAAACGGGTCAGTCCCCTTGCCCTTTCAACAACCATAACCACACCACATCACATTAAAACACCTTTAGCCATATCTTCAGAACCAAAAAAACTCAGACATATGGAAAAGTTGTCAATATACCATCCATTCCTCGGCCTTGACTAAAACCCCCGCCTGCTCTGCCGCAATCCCCAACACCTCCCGTGTTCCCCACCACGCATTCACAAACTCGCTCCCAACCGTCATCCACACACTCACGCAGCTCCAATACACAAGTGCTTGCTTCCATTTCCCCATCTCATCCACAAGCCTTTTTCCCCCCTCATTCCCCCCACCCTTCCTGGTGCTGGTAGGTTGAAAGGTGGTGTTAAGAATTAACCCAATAATCCCAACCATACACCCTTCAACCATAAACTGGATATGAGCTGTCAGTGCGAGACGTGGGAACGGGGTGAGTGGGATGATGAAGCCCACCCAAAGGCCGGTGGAGAGGAGGAGGGTGGAGTGGAGGAGGAGGGATGTTGGGAGTGTGGAAAGATTTTGCATTTTTTTTTCTGGATAGCGAGAGCAGTGAGCGGGTGAGCAAGTCCAGAATAGTATGTATGTGACGGATGTGAGCGGAAGAGTGAGCAGTGAGAGAGGGAGAAGGTAGAGTATATATATGTGTAAGGGGGGTGAAGGTAAATGGAGAGTTTGAATTTGAGATGCGTGAAGAATACTCAAAAAAGACTTCAAGTGGAGAGAGATGATCAAATAAGTATTGCGGGGTCCAGCCATTCTTTCAACTCCTACCTTTCCATCTGAGCTGTGGTAAGCTAAGCCTAGGTTGGAGTTGGTGCAGATCATCGGCGTAGCTGAGCCTTGCCTTCGCTTCAAACAAAGACAGCTTAGCTTTGTGGTCCGGGCTCGTGATTGGCTCCCTTAATGTCTGGTCACGGCTTGTTCTCACATCCGTAGACTTCAGTCCTCATGAAGGTGAAGGAAGCGAAATGTAGGAAGAGACTGCCAGCAAAGCGATTATAATGCTCTGCGCCCCGTCTGTGTGTGTAGCCTGCATCTTTGACTTTGCTAGCATGCCATGGGAGCTTGCATGCTTTTGAAATGGGAGAGAAGGGCAGCCCTGGCCCAATGTTGTACGCATAATTCAGAAGTAAGGACCTTAAAGCACCCACGTGATCGCCATAGTAGAAATACCAAGCGATGAAAACGCCGTCCTAGCCCCTTCCCATGAGTGCCATCTGGTAGTTGGCTAGATTCCTACGCCCGGCGCCATTAATGCTCACGACGGTAGAAACAGTTTGAACAAGAATATATATCTACAAGAACACCTTCTTCGCATCTCCTGGATGTGACTCTCCGGGGCAGTATGGACACTTGAATCTTGCGCCCTTGCTTAGCTTGTCGAGCGATTCTTGTGCTATCACGTGACCACATGGCATCATCATTGGTGGGTTTTGGTCTGTGGATTGTTCTTTGGAGACGGGGCAAACAAAGATGGAATGGAAGTGGTAGGAAGGTGGGAGTGGGATTTCGACCTAGCCGGGGTTAGGAAACATTATCAATGGGAAATCACGACAGGAGACTTACGGGGAGCTCATTCTGTGTTGTCCACTCTGTCCGCTTCTCTTTCATGATGTTCTGAAGTTTGAGGAGCGTCGGTAATGCGATGGCGCCTGCCGTTGCGGCGATATAGAGCGGCGAATCAGCGGATAGCCCCAGCAGCGAGCAGAATTCTCGGGTAAACGAAGTCGCCACTTCCTCCCAAGCAGAATTGTTGTAGAAGTATCTCCGATAAGGCGAGTCGTCTACATTTTCCCAGTATGCCATTGCCCCCATAAGTTGCTGTACTTCTCGCCCATATCGAGCCTGGAAAGGACCAAATTCGCTTCGTGCGTACGCCCATGCGCGGAGAGGTCCGTCGGCGGAGTCTTCAGTCATCATGCCGTCTTCGTCGCGGCCGATGAAGAAGCATACGAACTGTAAGCGACAGAGCTCGAATTCGAGATTGCTTCCGCGGGCTTCTAGGACGTCGCTTCGTTCTCGCGCCCATGCGATAGCCGGCGAAAGATTCCTGTTCTGCCGAAGTTCGTGGAGAATGTGATACATGTCCTTGAATTGCTGTTGCAGCTTATGAGAGTCGAATGTGCCGTTCGCCGGATCCTTCTCCCATGCTTCCTGTAGATATGGATTGGGGGTGGCGGGGGTTGGTTCGGGCTGGGGTGGGTGGGCGTTGGCCTCTTCGATGAAGGTGGATGCGACTGAGAATTGGCCCTCGCGGAGGAGGTGCATGGCTATGGCCCGGTTTATGAGCTGTGGGTGGGACGAAAGGGCGTCGTTTTCGGCGGTCGGGAGGGGCTTGTCTTTGAATCTCTGGAGGGAGTTAGCCGGTGGGTGTCTATGTGAGCGAGAGGAGAGGATGCATACCCTGTCCAGCGCCTTTCCGTATGCGCCCAGACCCTTGTGGACCTTCTTCAGGTCATTGTTCGCGGCTTCGATGGACTTCCGGACAGGCTCTTGGAGTTTCGCGAGCGTGACGGGTGCCATTTGGGGATCTGTCGGGGGTAGGTTAGCGTGGCCATGACGAAGAGCGGCGATAAGAACACGCACCCGCGGCGACCTTGGCCCTGGCCGTGGTGAGCAGGTCGATTGCCTTCTGGACATCGCAGATGCTCTGGGACAGATTGCTCTCCGACTGCAGCTGGTCTATGTGCTCCTTGAGGTCGTCCATGGCTGGCTGGCGGCGGGGGGGACACTTCCGCACCACTAGGGACTATGGGCGAGCGATTGTGCTTGTGTTGGAAGAAATAGAGAGAGTCGGCTGGAGATAATAGCCGAGCACGTAAATCACATGAGGTGCATCCATGTCCAAGGCGTTGGCGCGCTGGGGTTGGTGTTGAGCTTTGGGATCGGCACAGGGACGCTCGCATGACGTGGGGAAAGCCAAGCCTGGCCGTGTCGCTGAGAGCAGCACCTACCTGCTAACTCCCTCCTTCATTCACTCATCGGGAGTCCTTGAAGGCCGCCTCAAATGCACGCCCAAGTAAGGGGCGGCTAGAAATATGCATGCTTTGAGAACGCCGTCACACCAGTTCCGTCCATCCACGCCCTCTGCCCGCTGGCCGGCGGAGAGCGGCAGCGCCTGCCTCCCTCTGGGGCCTGTGCTGTCAACATGAGGCAGCGCCTTCACAAGCTTTATACATTTATTCGCGGAGCTGGGACTTTTCTTTTGCCATAGACGACCGCCGACATGTCCTTCTCCATCCCCACCAGCCCTCTGCCGCCTCCCGAGGAACAGGAGCTGCGCCGAAGCATGTCGCGACTCCAGGCGTCTGCCGCAGACGGCAAGAGCGTAGCTGGGTCTGGAACTGCGCAGATGATCCCCCCATCAACGGCTGCGGCTTCCACGGCCGAATCCACTAAGCCATCTCCGACCTTGACCGGCCACCAGCGCTTCGTCTTGACCGACCATGTCGCTTTCAGGTATCTGGAAGAAGACCCCTCTACTACGGTCCTTGCTCGTCGTCAGAAACTCGAAGGCTATGAAATATACCTCGTCGAGCAATGGGCCTGCTCACGGGCTCACCCTACCTTCATCATCACCACCTATACCGGCGATCCGAAGGATTCTGTCTTCGCAAACGTACTGAGCGTTCCCACTGATGAGTCTGCCTGGTCGCCGCAGCTCAGGATCTACTTCAAGGCTCTAAATAACTTCCATGCTAGGCGGCGGGAAACAAATCTTGGCACCCTCATGATCACAAATCTCAGTGCCTTTCCCTCCTCACTAACCGTCATCCCCGTCCCTGAGGGTGACGTGAAGAGATATCGGGAGTTGTTCTTCGTGAACGAGAATCTAAAGAGGTTAGGCTGCTCAGGTCGTCTTGGGATTAAGCTGGCTCAGCCCAGCAACGCAACTCAAGCCAAGTTCCATCAACTTTACAGGACCAGCGATATAATACCCCTGAACAGCTCCGTCATCGAGCTTGTGAAGCTTTGTCAGGTGGCCTTGGTATTGTTTGGGAAGTTGGAACCAGAGTACGCGGATGGCTTGCTTTGTGATGTCACCGAGAAGGCTATCAACGATTGGTGGTTGGAGTTTGGCGCAGAGTACTACACCGTAGAGCCTCATGACGGCATACTTGGCCCTACTACAGTCGCAGCGCTACTAGGCATGTTGATGGGTGCACGGAACCGTCTGAGCGCATACGGTGCGCCCGTCGCAAAAGACGTGTTCGATATTGAGAATACAAAGCGTGGCATCGCGTATTTTCAAAAGACCCAGCGAATACAGAAGACGCGTCGCCTAGACAGGCAAACGCTCGAAGCGCTACGGCGAGCAACTGCCAAAGCAGCTAGTGGAGAAGGCTGGGCTATGCCTCGTGCTTTGAAGTCCACTGTGGCAGAGCTTGGCGGGAAAGGAGGGGAAATGATGATGGGGATGGTTGGAGCTCGAGATAAAGCTGGCATTGCTGATGTTGAAACCGTCGACATTGACCGATTCATCGAACTTGTTCAAGGAGAGCGATCAAAATGGCTGTGGTATGGGAAGCCTCGGAAAACCGCCACTGGAGATATGTTCAGTCGCTTGCCTGGAGAAGGAAGCTTGACACCTTCCGCTGAAGAGCACAGTCACACCGGAAGTCTCTTGAAAAGGGAATCAACCCACGACGGTCATGGTCTTACAAAGCGCGATACTGCCTCTGAAGGACGCACGTCCGATGTTTTCGGGACGTCAGAAGCAGTTGAAAAGGACCCAAACTCCAAACGAGCTGCAATTAAAAGGGCGACTGGAAAGATTGAATCTGGTAGCGGCTTTGGTCGAATCAAAGATGTTGTCGGTAGACGAGGCCACCAACCGAAGCTGTCTAAGCATGAGAATGGCCGCATTTCTTTCCAACGCGCAAAATCCGACAACGAATTTTCGGGTTCGCTCGCAAACGATCCCCTGGCTACGCAAAAACAGAATCATGGTGACCATCTCAGCGAAAATATCTCAGTCATGTCTCCACGTAAAAGCACTCGTGACGAATACGAAGCCACCTTTACCAAGACCCTCACTCAAACTCCTCGGGCCTCTGCAAGCACACTTGTTATTAACAAACTGCAACCACAAAACAAGGGGAAGGTCGACCTTGGCGCTTTTTCAAGGCCCACCGAGCCCTCAGAAGACGAATTGTCCAAACCCCCAACCGTCGAAAATTCTATTGCAGGCTCAATATATCGAGGAGAAGGTCTCGAAACTATCCTCCCCGCCGACTCCGCTCAGGACATCACCCCTCTTCTCCGCCGGACCACCAGTGCCGAGCAACTCTCCCCCTACCACGCCGAAAATAGAAACGAGAATTGGTGGCCCAGACACCTCTCTTTCAGCATTGCCGAAGAGAGCATTCTCACCTGGCCCCCAGCCTCCTTAGCACCTCCGGAACCAGAACCTTTCGACGCGCAAGCCGCGCTCACAAGACAGGCATTTCTTTCCTCGGACGCGAGACGCCTCGGCGAGAATCTCGCAACCCTGAAAACCATTGATGCGTCCTGGGTCTCTGCCCGACTCACTGCCGTCCAAGACCTCGATGAGAATGCTGACCAGGATATCACCGGACTAGAAGATATGTACTACCCATGGCTCGAAGAATACCAATCTCTCCGCGAAGACGCACATGAAATCATATCCCGCGAGCGCGTGCAATTACAGGATGCGGTCCGGGATCTAGAAACCATGGGTGCGAAGCTGGAATATGAGATCAACACGTTAAGGAGTAAAGTCGATGACATCGAAGACGGGATCGCGGAATTTGAAAGGCAGGTTGAATTCGTGGAAGAGAAAGTCAGGGAGCTAGAAGATGTGGTTGGGCAGAGGGAGGGCTGGATCCATTGGGGATTTAGAATGTTGACGGGGATTGGGAGACCGCCTGGTTGGGTTGATTGAAGAACTCGGCTATATACGATATAAATATGTATCCGCTTTACAGCGCCCTGATACGCTATTAGAGAATGTGCAGGTTTTCTAAGGCGTTCTTATCGTCTCATTTTCATTAGCCTTGGAACTCATTGCTCTCCTGCCAGCACACGCTAAACTTAAATAGGGATGGGCTAAGAATTGCACGACATTGATTTCAAAGCAAGCTCAGGAGGCGTTATGCCGCTACTACAGAGCCGCCCAGATCGCAAAGACCAACTACAAGCATATGGAACCGCGCTATATCCTTTTTGGAAAAACCCACGAGCTCTCCTTGGCGTCTCTATGAATTGTCCGCAGTGATGTATGTAAGCTAAGGACAGAAGAAGGTTGGAAATCGGGCTTAAAGGGCTTGGGAAGGTTGAGAGGGGTGTTATCGCCGTCGGGTGGACGAATTTAGGTCGAAGATGTGCCAAGAGAAGAGAAGAGAGTGGGAATGTGGAAAATGTAGAGGTATATAAAGGGTTTGCATTGCGTTGTTCTGCTTCTGCTTCTGCATGTACTCCGTAGACTGTAGACTTTTGTTCTCTAAGCTCTCCTAGCACAAAAGCTTCACACAGACACCCTTTCTGTCCTCTCACAACCACCCTCATATATCGTCGTTCACACATCAACCCAACCAGCCATGGCGACCTCAATCCCCCTTCCCCAAACCCTCCAAGCCAGTGCGGACGCCACTAAAGTCGAATACGTCCAACTCGGCACCTCTGGTCTACGCCTCTCCTACCCTATCCTCGGCGGGATGACTCTCGGCTCCTCCCAATGGGAAAACTGGGTGCTGGATGAGGACGCCGCACTGGAGATCCTCAAAGCAGCATATGACCGTGGAATCAACACTTGGGATACTGCAAACGCTTACTCCAATGGCGCGAGTGAAGAGGTGATGGGAAAGGTATGAAGGCCCAAGTACAACCTCATGGTCCTTTCTTAAACTTACTGCAAGCATCTGAGGCTACTCAAGTAGTGCTGTAGGTGCTGCAGTGTGCTTTAAGACAGAACATAGAGGTGCCGGAGCCCCACTATAATATTGCGCTGACTTTATGCCTCTAACTTTCCAGGCGCTGAAGAAATTCGGGATTGAGAGGAGAAAAGTTATTATCATGACCAAGTGCTGGGCGCATGTGGCAGAGGAGGCAGGGGTGGTTACATTCATGTATGGCCCGCAGATGGAACAAACTAAAGACTATGTCAACCAAGGAGGTAAGTTTCCGTACCATATGCATTCCTTCCACTCCCTCCAATACCACTGGCCACAACCCCAAACAGACCCCCACCCGCATGCCAACCCCGCTCACCTACAACCAGGCCTCTCCCGCGCCGCTATCTTCGACGCAGTCGACGCATCTCTCGCCCGCCTACAAACGTCTTACATTGACGTCCTTCAAATCCACCGCTTCGACCCTACCACACCTATCGAAGAAACTATGAAAGCGCTACATGATCTCGTGCAAAGTGGGAAAGTGCGATATCTCGGCGCAAGTTCGATGTGGGCGACGCAGTTTGCGAAAATGCAGTTTGTGGCAGAGAAGAATGGGTGGACGAGGTTTGTTGGGATGCAGAATCTGTGAGTGTGGGTTTTCTTGGATCCTTCTAAGGGGGGATTGAGGAAGATGGGGGAGATTCTCATGCTAACGTTTTGCTTCATAGCTATAACCTCTGCTACCGGGAAGAAGAACGCGAAATGATCCGCTTCTGCAAATCCACCGGCGTGGGCCTAATCCCTTGGTCTCCTATGCTTGGAGGAAAGCTGGCGTGGCCATTAAACAAAAATACTTCCGTCAGAGCGACAACTTCCTCTCCCATGAACCCCGTCCTCACTTCCGCAGATGAGGAGATCATTCGTAGAGTCGAGAAAGTCGCGAAGGATAAGGGGTGTAAGATGAGTCAGGTTGCACTGGCTTGGGTTCGGATCAAAGGAGGTATTCCGATTGTGGGGTTTAATAGCGTCGATAGGATTGAAGATGCGTGCGGGTTGCGGGGGTTGAAATTGTCGGATGAAGAGGTGAAGTTTTTGGAGGAACCGTATGTGCCGAAGAATGTTATTGGGCATTGGTAAGTCTGTATTGAGTATCATGGGCTTATGAGCATAAACTGCTTCTCCTCGTGTTCGTTTTTGTTTTCCTTTCTTAGATGAGATCTTCTAACTTCTCCACTCTGGCGTGAATCAATCGGATAGTCTTTCTCCTAATCCCTAAAACCTGAATTCCCCTTTCGAAATAACTGAAGCAAGCATAACATCTCCTAAAATCTCCGCAACGATATTCAATCTTTCCAGCAACCATCGACGCTGTGGTCCCGGAACACCTTCGGTACTCACAGCCACGGTTAAAGGCCAGGCTAGGAGCGCGGCCATCTTTTGCGGCATTGCGCCGCCTATAATAAGAGGATTACAAGAGTGAAAGAAGAATAGAACCCCGCCGCACAAATCACGCGCTAGAGATTCGATGTTCTTCTGGGATGTTTCAATTTCCTGCTGGGAATTTACATATGAAGCTTGCATTGGGCATTGGATTAGGGTAGCCAGTGAGCGTATACGAATGCTGTTGACAATGAGACGAACAGCTCGATATCGGTTCCATACTGCGGCATGGCCGTGTGAGGCATAGGCATGCACAGGACAGTCGTATAGTTCATCCGTTGTGGTTGTTCGCGAGTCTATAGTCGAGTATCTCCACTCCTCCGGGGCAGTTTTCGACCATGTTACAAACGCTGCATCGAGGTCCTGGGCCTCTGCTGCGACTTCTCGGGAGATACCTCGATGGGAGGGAGGTGAGCAGCAGTCAGTTCCCCCGGAATCTCGTGATTTAGGTCCACTGTTATTTTTGAACAGATGTAGGGATCTCGCTCGCAGACCCGCGGCTCGAAGAATAAGCGCGTCGAGTTCTCGCATAGGGCCTTTTTCTTCGTAGCTTGGATCTTGAAGCCAACCCGGGATTGTCTTTCCTCGAAGGATGATTATTCGGATCTAGCAAAGCAACATTAGATAGTCTATGGGAAAAGAACGATAGCTGTATGGCCGCAGCGTACTTACAATCTGGCGTCTCACCACTCTATCAAGTGGGAGATTCTTTGGTAATCTCCGTAACTGCCGTAGTCTCAAAAGCCCTGCTGCTCCTTTATGGTGGCAAACATTCTGCCAAAATCGAGACCCAACTTCGTCTGAACTGCAAGATGGGTTTTGGGGGTTGTGGGGGTTGAGTCCCCACATGATATTCTACATTTCATTGTGTTAGCAATGGTCCAAAAAAGTTAGATCACGAGACTCGAAACATACTTCATACGTTCCCATCAACATAATCGTAATGAGAAGTTGGTCGATATCCTCGGTAGCCACATCTTTGATTTCTGTCTTCACTTTCGCAATGGTTTGGGAATAAAATCTATTAGCGTCTTCAAGCGCCTTACGAACCTTCCTTGCACGCCCGAAAACAGCGAGCGCAAATGCAAGGAAGGCGAGGTGTAGGCTTGAATCTTGCCTTGCACGATCTTTGTGGGAGATCACGTACGAGGTGTACTCGTGTCCGATACCAGGAAGGTCATTAGTCCCAAACGCCCAATTCTTGACCCAGTAGTTCACGGAATGAAGTTCCAGGGGAAACGATAAAGCAGGTAGGATAGTTGGATGTGATCTCGCCGTGACAGCTGTTGAATCTTGCAAACAGCTATGCACTTTCCGCGGACGACGCGGACGTCCCTGAGCAAATGCATTCTCACTCCTGAATGGTAGACCTTCTTCTTCGGTGGCGGCCCAGGTACACAATAAACCCCCTTTTCTGCAACGACCGCAAAGTGGCCGCGCTGAGTCGCACTGATGAGGTTATTTAGCTCGGGCATAGGAGGGTATTGGAGGGGAATAGTAATTACCTTGAGATGACGGCGTTTGCAAGTGTTGCAGCCGAGACTCGGAAAGACCATGCTGTCGTCCTTAAGTAGGTAGTGTGAACACCTCTTAGCGATTGGAGGAGGTTCAGTCTCCGCTACCTTGCTGCATGGCCTGAGTGATACTGACTTTGCATACAAGTAGCTTCAGGTTTTGAGAAGGCAACGACGGAGCGAATGGAGTTAAACACGCTTGGGAAGGCTTAATTCCGAAAATCCCGAACCTCTCCTCCTTTACACGTCGTTGCTTACCTAACTCTTTAATAGGCCATGGTTTGGCTCTAATTGAAATAAATGCCTGAGGGACTTGAATTACGGGTTAAGGTATCTGTATCTCTTGCCTTCTGGGAGCAGGTGCACACTAAGCCCGATTTGGTTATGGTTTCACCGTCTGCGATCTGGAGTTTCGACCCAACCTATTTACCTGAACTTAGCTACTGTTTGGAATAAATGATATCATGAGGGATTTATCCCTGATCATTAAGAAGAGCATGTGGAGCTAAGTACGAAAAGGAATTGTAATCACTCTACATCTGTTGGAACTCTTGGTGACATTTCCACCTTCTTCGACGCGGACGTCCAACCCCAAGCTGGCCCATCCCGAGCATCCCAAAGGTTTCTCCATAGCTTTGAGTCTTTGAACACGATCTGAGATTGTAATGAAGAAAAAGAGCAATACGAAGCTTCGATATCGTAGTCTGCAGGGGTGTGTGTGTGTCATCGAGAGACACAAAACGTGAGACATCAAGAGTAAGGTAGAGAAGCTACTCCTTATTGGTGGATAGATAGGCTAAACAAGATATAAATTACTAGCAAAAGCGAATTTGTCTCCGCCGAAACAGTTAAAAACTTCAGCAAAAGGCAGCTATCTCCACAAAGAAGCCAAGGGCAGTACATGCCTTTATACTTATCTTCTTCTTGTTCTCCTCAAAAGCCCTGCCACCATCCGTCTGCTTTGCACTCACGCATTGTATTTTTACCTTCTCGCTAATTGGCTGCAGTGCGCGCAGAGGACTTTTGCATAGCTAATCAGAGCTAAGTCAAAGACAGAGTTAATCTCGCAATCATTTATGCATTGAGCAATTCTACGAATGTTGATAAGCAAGATCCAACGGCTTTGAATTCTGGGAAGCGTATTGATCCTCATGCGGAACGGGACGCTGGTGGAGTGGTGGCTTGGGAGGAAAGCAGAGGGATCGTGTTTGGGGTGTAGGTTGCGACAGCATGGGAAACGGACCTTCTAGAGAAATTTTGAAGGAAGGATTATCATACTTTCCCAAATAACCCAAATCCGCTGTTTTGGATGTTTATGGATGTGCATGGCGGCCTTTAGGGTGACTAAACGACCCTATTTCATGCAGAGCTCTTGGCTGCTAAAAGAACAAGTGTTAGCGACGGCACGTACCTAGAGATGCAGTGAAACCCTCGAAGTGGTACGGCATTTGACAAAATGGTCTAGGTAGAAAGCAGTTTAGAGGAAGAGAAAATGTGGGAGTGTCATTTCTATAAGGTGTTAAAGGCTCTCGAAAAGTGTCAAGAACTTTTATTCGCCCCTACGGTATCTCTCGCATCATTCGCCCGTTTCCGCCAAGACTTGGAAGCGGCTACAGGGGTCCAACATGGTCAACGGGACCAGGCCTGAACTGGCTAATCAGAGACTAGCTCAATTTCACGCCATAGTGTCAGACGTTACCTCAGACATTAACCATTTCGAAATCACAATCGTTACCCTCCCTGAATAAATACTGGTGCGGCTACAAGCAATCCCTCATCAAACGAGCCATGGGAACAAGCCCACAGCCCGTTACCGGCCTACACCTAGGACCTGCAGCCCCGAAGCTGCGGTCCTCTTGCGATGGCTGCGGAGTAGCGAAGGTCAAATGCGATCGTGGTCACCCCGAATGCGGTCGCTGCACAACGCTCCACTTAGCCTGTGTTTATGGCCGATCACGCCAGTCTGGAAAACCCTCGCGGAAGAGGCCTGGCGTCAGCCTTGATGGTGCCACTGAGAAACGTAGATGCACGTTATGGCCCGCCGACAGTAGCGAGAATCACAGAGCAACGGAACTCGGAGAACCGCAAGATGTTAGTGTGTCAACACATGCTGATTTCTCAAACCTACTAGTCGACATTCTACCCTTCTCCAATTTTACCGAAACCACGTTAAGCACCAACGAGCAGAGCCAATTTAGCTCGTCCCTTTATCCCGCCTTGCCACTCGAGGAGTGGCCTCAACTCGACGGGTTAGGATCTGGCCTGGGTATTCCGTCACCCTCCGTATTAGGGACCACCACCAACCTGAGTACGAACGCTAGCAGTGATGATTCCCACAATTGCCCTCGGGAATCTTACGAAATCTTCCGGGACTTGATCTGTCCCAGTCCTTTACACGCGCCGGAATCAAATTCTATTACGATCCGGGCCCAGTTGGATCATGTGCTTTTTTTCAACAGAAATGCCGTCGAGCGTCTGAACCGGGTCCTGAAGTGTTCTTGCTCCAAAACTGGTCACCGGGCCATGGTTCATGCATCCATTGTTTCCCGCATACTGATCTGGTATCAGCAAGCGGCTGGCTGGTCTAGCAGTAGTTCTTCGGAGCCTCAACCTTCGGCATCGGCTAGTTTATCAGCACCCTGCTGTATGCCCTCATCTTCATCCTCGTCCTCGGAGCCGCCATCTGGGATGGCAGCCGACACAAGTAAAGCAAGCTCAGCATCGCTGGTTCAAGCAACAGGGTTTGCTGTAGAACAGGTTCCTGTCTCAATGGGAACCTTTGGCATTGAGGACCAGAATGTGCAGGCCGCTATTAGGGCCCAGCTAATTTTAAGTGAGCTCAAGAAGATGGCCAATTTGATTGACGCATTCACCTCCCAAGACTCGGTTGAATCCTCTGCCCACGATGTGGCCGGCCTGTACTCGCATATTGGAGCATGGCTGCGGAGTGAGCATTCAGCAGCTGTCAAAGGCTTGATATCTAGACTCAATACAATCAACAAGAAGCTAGAATCTTAGCCGATGCTGCGCCCGTCTCGCATAGCTGTATGTTAATTATAACCCTTGCTCACATTCACTACCTCATGTCCTACTCCTCGCCTCTTCGTGACCACAGTTATTCAAATGTACTCATAATGCCCTTCATAGCGATGGTAACGACCCTTTGCTTCCTAGGCCTTATTGTGCGGGTTCATATCTTCAACAGGACAAGCCTAACAACGTGCTCGGCTTGTCAGCGTGGCAGCGGAGTTCATCCAATCAGCGTCAACTTCCGGGACCCGAAGGTCGTCCCCCATTGGCCAAACGGCACGCGTCAGGACAAGGCCCTCTCTCTGTAGATGCCCTAGCACAAATGTAGGTGCTTGTCAAAAGCATTAAAGCTTTCTCCTGTATCGTATAAATAGCTCGACTTTTCTACCCCTTCTTCTCCTAATTGATCTGGTCTTTAGGTCGCCTATAAAATTCCCCGTTCATTTTTTACAAGCAAACCCCACAACCTTTATTAATCACAACAAACTGACCCTTACCACAAACTATAATGGTCAAGATTGTAGTGGCCGGGGGTTCGGGAGGTGGAGTTCCCTGCCGTCAAGCAAGACGACTTAAAAGCCACGCTGACTTTTCCCTTCAGAACTTGCCCGGGAAGTCGTCGACGCTTTGGTAGCTACGAGGAAGCATGAGATAACCATCCTGACTAGAAACGTGAGGAGCAGCTCCGAGCGCTGTGTTATGCGCTCTTCCAATGTTTTCACCCTCTTTCCATTGCTAATGGGATCTAGAAGGCTTCCGCGGGATACATCACACCTGGAGTCACTTGGCGTACTGTAAATTATGACGACAAAATCGACCTCATCGGAGCCTTACAGGGAGTCCACACAGTCTTGTCTTTCGTAAATCTGCTTATGGCAGACCCGGAGAACAATCCTCAGAAGAACCTCATTGATTCTTGCATCGCCACTGGTGTAAAACGCTTTGCACCAAGTGAATATGGAAGGTAGATTAGCAGTGCCGAACAGTGTATCGACGATGTCTAACTATTTGGTAGTTGTGGGAAAGACGACTTGCCCTTCTGGGCAGGGAAGAATGAAATCAAAGAGTATCTAGAAAAAGTGAACGAGAATGGAAAAGTAAGAACTTCACCTCACTCTTTCCCATTGTCTATATTCTGACCAGCCTCCTCAGGTTCTCGAATACACCTTGTTCCAGCCAGGACTATTCTTAGATTATCTGGCAACTCCTTGCAGGACGGCCAAATACGTGACTCCTTTGGACACTTTCATTAACTTCCAGAACCGGCACGCCATTGTCGTCGATGGCCACGAAGATGCCATCATGACTCTGACCACAGTTCAAGATATTGCTATGGTTGTCACACGAGCGGTCGAGTGCGATAGCGAGTGGCCTAAAATTGGGGGCATTAGAGGCAACAGAGTCACAGTCTCGCAGATCCTCGAGATCGGGGCGAAAGTCCGAGGTGTGTAAGTAAAACTAGAATATGAATGAAGATGTTTACGTCAAATTGTAGGTCGTCCTTTTACCATCGACAAGGTCAAACTCGAAGACCTTCAAGCCGGAAATCTCAAGACATCATGGTCATTGGGACAACGTCACCCGAGTTTCACGGTGGACAAGGCGGACCAACTCCCGGCTATGTTGAAGACTGTTCTCATCGGCATTCTCCTGAGCAGTGTAAAGGGTGCATGGGATGTGTCTGATGCGTTTAACCAACTTCTTCCGGATTACGAGTTCACGAAAATAGAGGATTTCCTCGCTAATGTGTGGGAAGGAAAGCCATAGTAGTAGATACTCGGATGGGGTGTCAAACTTGCTCCTCGAGGTACGGGAATGTTTTTAGAATTCTACGTGGACTATCTCCCACAAATCCTTTCAGTGCTTAGGACATCTTCACTTCCACTTTTGGTGACACTATCTATGCCAAATAATTAATCATCATGCCCCTCTCTTAGTCTTCCCAGCTACAAGAAATCTATCTTGGAATTTATCCTCAATGGGGCCTTCCATAACACCTTTCTTGTCTATGCGCTGACCAGCACAACCCACCTTGTCTTCTGCAATGACTGAATGCGGCGTATGTCGCACATGATATATCTCACGTGACCCTGCATCGAGGGCGAATCTGGGGCATACCTTGTTTTATCTACTATATATTCACTCCGGAGCTCGTGAGACAAGGCTTTAAACACGATAGCCCAATCAACCTAGTTTAATTCTTATCACCTAATTGACCCCTCACAAGTCCATAACATCTATCTATAAGCTATATAACTAACCCTGCGATAGAAAGTCGATGTTGTCAACTGCAAAATATTGAAGCAGGCTACGGACAGGATTGAAGTTATGATCGATGAAGTAGTTGTAGAATTGAGATCTAGGTTCCTAGAGTTCAAAATAGACACTGAGACGTTAATCAACACTCAAGTTTCATCTACTGCACAGGCGAAACCCTAAGTAGCTGTTGGGAGTTGGTTGTGGTAAGTGGAATCACTCCTATTTCACCTCTCCCTATTCAAGATTCTATATACTGATTCGGCCGAAAGCTCACGAACCGACGGCACTTCGATTGGAGGCAGGCCGATGACATGGTTAATTAACCCAACGACGACCAATTCCTTTCCAGGGTCTATCCAAAACCATGTTCCATACAGCCCAGCCCAAAAGTAGCTCCCAACCTCCATGGCAGTTTTTGCCGCGACTGAATCTTGAACGATCGCAAATCCAAGTCCGAACCCGAGACCGTCGAGGGGCCGACGAAACATTTTCATCTTCACGCCAGCCTCAAGGGCTTGAGTGTGCATCAGCTCGACTGTGCTTTCTTTGAGATAGCGCCTGCCTTCAAATTCGCCGCCGTTGAGGATCATTTGTGAGAAGCGCCAGAAATCCGTCACTGTGGAGAGCATGAGACCACCTCCGCCGGCGAGGAAATTGGGTCTCGATGTGTTGTATGTACCTTTGCGGTCGACGGCTACGAGTTCCTTGATTTCATTGTACTTGTGGATGCTCACAAGACGCTCTACCTTTTCCGCAGGCGCAAAGAAGCCAGAATCGACCATACCCAAGGGGGCGAATAGTCGTTCCTCGAGAAACTCGTCCAGGAATTTACCAGTGAGTTTTTGGATGATGTAACCCTGGATATCAACACTATACCCATACCGCCATTCTTTGCCCGGTTGAAATGACAATGGTCGCACAGCCAGTGTGTCAATCATATCCTGGAGAGTGCCGCCTCGCAGATCCAAGTCAGCGTATTCACTTCTTGATCCGAACCCTGCAGAATGGCTCATCAAGTGTCTCATCGTCATCTGTGTCTCTTGCGGGACGAGCTCGCCATCTTCCTCCCGCTTGACCTTGAGCCCTTCAAATTCTGGGACGAACTTGGAGACTGGATCATCGAGTGCCCATTTATCTTCTTCCCAGAGCATCATCATAGCGGCGGACGTAATGGGTTTAGTCATTGATGCGATGCGGAAGATGCTGTCGGTTCTGACAGGAATAGGCGGGGCTGCAGAGACATCGAGAACGCCGTAAGCATCGCAGTTCACGATTTTGCCCCGATGAGCGATGAGAGTGACGACGTTGGCAAGCTTGCAATCATCTACTAGCTTGTGGAATTGGGCATTAAAATCTGCTATGTCTTCGTTGGTGAAAACCCGGGTCGGGTTAGTAGGCGTAGTTGTAGAAGCATTGTTTGACATGTTGATTTAATCTCTTAAGATTGTTTTTAGAATGCGTGTGCGTAGCTTAACGATGGTATATATTTGGGTTGAAGTGAGTGAAAAGATTTTCAAGTCTGTTGTCAAAAGAGTTGACCTCGTGTTACCCCGCACAATTGCTGCTCCTTGTATCGAAGCCATTTCTCGAAAGACGCACGACTGTGTACCAAACACGGCATGTATATTTTAAGGGAACTAGATTCTCAGACTTATGCGCAAGGTAAAGGATAAAATACGGATCTGTGTGCTGATCACCTCAGCTAGCAGCATCTAAAAGATGGCATATCCCCTTGGATTTCCACCTATTTTACCTTCACGGTAAACTCAACAACATCCTCACTAGCCAACTCAAGTTTGTGCCAAGTTTCATAGTCTTCATGAGGTACCTCATTATTCCAATCTCTGAAAAGCTCCGACTTCGTCTTCCTCGTCAATTTCAGCTTCTGTGGCTCCGCCTTGAATTACAGGTGTGATCATTCCTCCGTACCGCGTAGATCAAGGGATTATATAAAGGATTTATATCTTCAAGGAGATATTTCACTATAAAAGGCTCTCCTGGCTGCAGTTCAGGCAAACTTTATAGAAGATACCGGTTTCGCATCCCCAACCACCACCTTGTCTTTAGGTTTTTGGAAGTACTCTTCGGCGGTAACATCATCACCACTCGAAAAGATTGAGACGGAAATTGTTGCAGAAGATCGTGGCTTATGTAGAATTATATTAACACTGGCTATGAAGCGTGATTGAGTAGTGGGATTCGAGCGTTGTGGTAACTAGAAGATGCACGCCTTTGGTCGTCCTTGCGCGATCTATGTCTCGAGATGTTTCGATATTTACCAAGGGCTTTGGGTCTCTAACACTACTTTGTAAGATGAGATTGAACAAGCAGATCACGCGTGTATCTGATGAGAGCGGGTTGTTGAATCAGATTTTACAGAAAGTGTTCTATTGCTTCTACAGTATGAATTTAGGCGTTGATGCAAAGGAGAAGCGAATAGCAAAGCATGGAAACCTCCAGTTCCATATTTAGTTCCAATATAGATAGAGTAGAACGAACTGACATCGGGAGTACGGTTCACTTTAGGAAAAAACATTTGAGAATGTCCGTATGAAGCGTTTTTACCGGGATGTTGGTAAGTCCTTCTCAGGTGGTGGGCTTAATTCTCAATTTAGAAGATAGACTCATAAGGGATGGAAGGAGAGCGATGTGAGGGAGAGCGATGCGAGAGAGTCCGAAGCAGTTTGTTTAGTTGTGGTCCTTCTGTAAAGTTATTGTGTAGACTTGACTTCCCAGTATTGTATGTATGCTTGTGTAGAGTAAGTTAGTGAAGCTCAATATAAACCCGTTATTAAAAACTATGAAGCTCTCTCGTTACGTCTCTTAGTCGACGAATACCACCGTCCGCGATCTTGAAGCTTGTAATTAGTGCTATAGTTTGGCTCCAGATCTATAAACTTTAATGATGAATCTCAGTAACGGTATCTCCAACGGCGGCTGATGTCGCTCGTCTAGATCTCTGAGACTTTAGCTCCTTCTCTGCTACGCTAATCACTAACGTTCACTCTCTATTCTCCTATAATTCGAGTGCAGCACTCACACTTATTATTATAGCCCTTGATAGCTATCCTCTTTGGCCTCCCTAAGCATTAAAAGCTAAGATTCTCTTTGACTTCATCCAAACTAGGAAAATGCTGCAGGCTATACGGCCAGCCCACTCGATCCTCACTTTGGGACGCTGTATATCATTAACCTCGCGTTTGACATCCGCACGTGGTAACGGATTCAAATATTATTTGCAAGATTCTCCCGTTTGCCGACCCTCCTTCGAGCAGAGGCCCAGGCTAGATATTCCCGTACACATCCAGGCCGTTGACACTGGCCATTTTCTGGCGCGATTTGGCGAAAACCAATGAGGTAATCAGTTAAGATTCATCATACTCAATATTCTAACAAAAAAATTGTTTGAACTATAGGTCCCGACTAAAATGAATGCGTGAGAAGATAAAACGTAACGACAGGCTTTACAGTAAATGACGAGCCGGAAAAGAGTGTTCAGTGTGATAACCCGTGAGAACAAGCACTGCACTGTCGACTTTTTCTGCATTTAGTCGTGTTCTAGTTCGAAGATAACCGAAAGATACGATGATTTAATGAGGTGCGTCTTTACACAACGCCATCCGCCCTCAGCAAAAACAGCTTCCCATTCTTCCATCGTCGGTAAATAGACACCCATCATAGCGTGCCCGAATTCGAAGCCAAGGGTAAAGATGGGGACATCATCTTCGGTGACGGCATGTCTAGAACGAGGATTGTCCAGCAGGATCCGGGTCGTGTCTCCCAGGAGGAAGCGGCGGGCCTTGGGAAAGGCCTTACGCAACCGCTGAAGAGTAGCGATGCAGTTGTCACGAGGCCAGAAGTCATGGCCCATCATGAAGCACATCAGAAGGTCGACTCGGGCAAATTCGTCGCAGTACACCATTTCACGCGCGTCGCCCTCGATGAATGACAACCGATCCCTGAAGCCACGCTCTAACGCCTCGTCCGTGGCGACCTTAATTGCAGGGCCGGCGACATCGATGCCGATGCCAGTGGTCCCAGGATACCGGTCGAGAGTCTGCATTAGTCGCTCGCCACTCCCGCTTCCTAAGTCCACGACCGAGTGGAATTTGTAATCGAGTCCATCCATGGCCGCCCAGAAGACCGGGTCAAAGTGTTGGAGGTTGATATCGCGACAGGCGTATGCGATCGCCGCGGGGTCACGGCTGTAAAAGGACCCCTTGCGATTCTCGTTTCGCACCACGTACTGCATTCGTGAGAAAAGTCCTCCAGACCCGAGGGCGAGCCAGTGGAACAGAGACTTGTTCCTGTAGGTCTCATCCAGCAGCCTGCCCGGCACGGCGGTATCATGATCGCGCTCGACCACATTGACGACCGCCAGTGCGGTGACCAGACCTTGTATGGACCCACTGTCCAGATCGTGTTGCTTTGCGAACTTGTGCACGTCAACTTTCTTGTGGTCTCTCAATTCATCGAGCAAGCCGAGCTCCCAGGCAGCGCCGATGGCTGCGGCTGCAATGGCTGAGTTGAAAATAGCCGCAACTTCGCGCTTTGAATCGTCGATAGTTGAAATCATCTCCGCGAACTCTGTTATGATTTCAGTGAATAGGTAAGATTTGGAGTAGCTAAAGTAAACTGGGAACCCTGAGGCAGAGGTACGGCGGTACGTATAATGGAAAGCTATTGAGTGTGTAGAGAAGCGTTGCGCATATGTTAGTTTGTTATATATCACCGCGGAGGCTAGCTGGAGGGCTTTGACAGGAGGGCTTTGACAGGGAGCTGTGGCTTTCCGTAATCGTGATCAGCATAGCGCAGTCCGAATGGGGGAATGGTTGCAAGATCGCTTTTTGTCAGAAATCTCGCTTGTACAGGTCGTCATATCCGGCTTCCCTGCCTTGAGCAGGTATGCATATGGCTTAATCCCCGGATAACGTCCACACCGACGTCTTTTCATGGAGCATCTGTGCCCAGGAGCGGTGAGGAGGGTCAGCAATACATGGGCTTTTGCTGGAGCAAAAAGTGTATCGTAATTCTCCCTAACTTGGAAATTGATATTCAGAACGTTACTATCTGGTTGATTAGTTTCCACGCAGAGGGATCGGGCGGTATTGGTTCCTAACACTAGGTAAGCTGACAGCCAACCAAGGATTTTAGAGAATAAAGGCCGAAGGAAAATACGCCCCAATGGAGTGATGGAGGGTGTGATCAGTTTTCGACATGCGTGGCAGGCTAGCCCTCATCTATAGGTGGGCTAACGACAGGTGACTAGGTGTCTGGAGGTGGATCCTTTGTGGCAGGCTAGTTAAGAGGGGAGCACTAGGGTATGTTCTGTTTAAATCAAGCGTGGAAGCTTTCCAGACAGCTATCAAGGCTCAGTGGCATTAATTCAATTCTTGGATCGCTAGTGCTAGTTCTTAAATCCATGAACTTAGCATTCCAACGGATATAATTAGGTTTGGTTTAGATAATCAGCCGTCCAATATGAGCATGAAAACCCGAGTAGCTGCAGTTTGCTATTTTCAGATGATTCAATGCCGAATACTGGGCACAAAGAATGAATAATCTCAGAAACGGCGGTCAGAGCAACCTCAGCCTCTGTGTACGCCGAGCCCAACAGGAAACGCAATATCAAAGTAGGTCTCTAAGCCCGCACATCACACCATATAAAGTGACAAATATTGACACCTTTTATCTTTTGCAATAGAACAGCAACGGAGGTCTATTCAACTCAAGCTTACATACCAGAACATGACGGCCTTTCCCCCCCCTCCTGTCAGTACGATTGACTGGACCAATACGAAGGACTCCAAAGTCCACGAAGGTGTGTGAACTCCACCGCATTGAATTTATGGCCACTAAGGTTCTTTACAGTCAACGGCCATATCGAGTCTACCTACTCAAAGGCAACTGGCAAATGGACACCGCTCAAGTTCATCTCCGACCCGTACATGCGCATCCACGGCATGTCGCCAGCCATCAACTACGGCCAGCAAGCTCTGGAAGGTTTCAAGGCTTTCCGAATGCCTGGAAAACCTGGTGGCATCGCCCTCTTCCGCCCCGACCGCAACGCTATGCGCTTTCAACATTCCGCCGAGGTGCTCTCGATGCCGCCAGTCCCTGCTGATATGTTCCTGTGGGCGTGCCGCGCCGCGGTCGCGCTCAACGCCGAATACGTACCTCCACATGAGTCTGGTGGGGCACTCTACGTCCGGCCCCAGCTTTACGGTTCAAGTGCGCACCTTGGACTCACAGCACCAGATGAGTACAAATTCTGCGTATTCGTTGTTCCGACAGGCGTGCATTTAGGAACACAGCCAGTCAAAGCGCTGATCCTAGACGACTTCGACCGTGCAGCGCCTAAGGGCACGGGCCATGCCAAGGTGGGTGGCAACTATGCCCCCGTATTGAGGTGGAGCGACCAGGCAAAGACAGAAGGGTTTGGCATCACACTGCACCTGGACAGTGCGCGGCATGAAGAGGTGGACGAGTTCAGTACTTGTGCGTTTATCGGTGTGCGTTCTCAAGGGAGCAGTGACGACGACGTGACACTGGTGGTCCCCGACTCGCCTTGCGTCATTGACAGCGTCACCAGCGACAGCATGCAGCACATCGCCCGTAGCAACGGGTGGAAGGTTGAGAAGCGGTCTATCCAGTACGCGGAACTGCCCGCGTTTAGCGAGGTGTTAGGCGCTGGAACTGCGGTAGCCTTGGTGCCAATACGGTCCATTACCAGGCGTGTGATGGGGGCTAGCGCTGAGTCGGAAACGGTGAGATACCTCCCCGATGATCAGCACAGTGGCGGGCTAGTATACCTCAAGCTACTAGCGCAACTGGAGGGCATCCAGCGGGGCAAGGTACAGGACGAGTTTGGGTGGCGCTTTGAGGTGCGGGCGGAGGATCAAGACATCCACTAGACCTATGTGCACCTTTGTACTCTCAGCTCCACCTAATCATATTGTATTAAAGCGTCTCCTTGTATCATATCATTCTCAACAAATTGAGGTAGTGACATCATATTCATTTATTAACGGTTCAGATTTGTCAGCATTCTACGACAGCCATGGCTCTCCCACCCAACGCATCACTGAATGTACCCCTCAGCACACCGAAATTGCTCATCATGCCAACAGCGGACCTAACGTGCATCTTAAGTTCGGATAGTTCTTACTACAGCTTATGCCAGACCGCAACTTTAAAGCGCGATCGCAATTTTAACCGTAGACGGCATAAATTCCCTAGACTGGAGTTCGGACTGGAGTTCGGACTGGAGTTCGGATTGGGGTTCCTTCCAAACCATCCCTATGGATTATCTTATAGTCTAAGTGGGGTCTGGGTGGTAGTGGGTATTTCAGGGGTAGGATAAGCTGAGTCAATATGGAGCATCGACAGCTCAACGGCCCACACGTCACCCGCTTGATCCTTTGTCCACTGGTGAAGGTGATGATGACTTCTGTCCACAATTATTCCGAGGACGGGGTCAAAAGTAATAAGGGCATCTGAAAACCATTACCGACATGTGTACAAATAGGAGAACTAGCATTATACCAATAGCATTTTTACTCCATTTCTGGAGGTCAACGACCACAGCTTCAATAGAAGAGTCAGTATCAATGGCCTGTTCTGAAGACACTGAGAAGCAGCAATATTCAAAAGAGGTCGCCATTGCACCGAAAGATGCACCCTCCAGGCCCAATGCTCGCCCAGCGTGTTTCCGCTCGACGGCACAGGAGATTCTGTTCATTCTAACAGTTACAATGGGTGTAGCCATGCCAAGTCTCCTTCAAGGAAGTACCATCGTCATATCTTCTTTTGTGAGAAAAGACCTTAACATGACGACTTCTCAGACAACATGGATCACAGCCTCCTCGGCGTAAGTCTCTCAGTTTCCCCCAAATATTCGGAACGCTAACGACGGCAGCTTAACTTCAGGTTCTTTCCTCCTATTCTTTGGCAAGGTTGCGGATCTGTTTGGTCGAAGAGGCATGCTCATCGCCAGTCTTTTCCTGTTCGCCGTTTTCTCCCTTTCGGCAGGATTCTCGCACAATGCCATTACCCTAGACGTTCTCAACGGAGTTCTGGGCTTGTTCTGTGCATCAACTGTCCCCCCTGCTCAAGGTATCCTTGGTAGCATATACGAGAAGCCATCTAAGAGGAAGAACTACGCATTTGCCTGTTTCAGTGCAGGTAATCCGCTTGGATTTGTGTTCGGCTCTATCTTTTCCGGAGTTGCGACACAGCTCTTTGGATGGCGTGCATCATTCTGGCTACTTGCTATCATCTACTTCGTAGTGGCGATTGTGGCTTGTTTTATAGTCCCAGTGGATGACAGTGAGAAGCTCCCTCTCTCAATTCAGACGATGAAAAAGTTTGATGTCGTTGGCGCAACATTGACTATTGGTGGTATTGGTCTGCTTTCCTTTGGTCTCAGGTAAGGAAGGTGTCTTAAACGAGGTGACAAAAGCTCACAGATACTGTCCAGCGTTGGCTCAGATGCTCCCCTGGGGTGGAAGACTCCATACGTGCTAGTCTTAATCATATTGGGTATCCTGATGATTATTACTTTCGTATGTTGGGAGTGTTGTTTTCCATATCCACTCATGCCAATGAATGTTTGGCGCGATAAGGAGTTCTCTCTGGTACGTTCTCTGTAGCTTTGAAGCGGTATTTGTCTAATTTCTTTCAGCTGATCGCAATTTTACTACTTGGTTTTCTTGCTTTTCCGCCGATGACATTCTTCGTGGCACTGTATCTTCAAGAGCTATGCAGATATTCTGCATTGATGACGGCGGTACACATGCTTCCTATGGCAATTAGCGGGATCATCGTGAATGTAAGTTCGAAAGTTGAGAAAGACAGGTCGATGATGTTGATGGTTCGTTCTAGGTCATTGCCGGGCTGGTGTTACATGCGGTTTCCAATAAGTTATTAATGGGAATAGGAGCTGCTGCCTACACCATGGCTTTCCTTCTCGTTGCTGTCCAGCGCTCCGGTGACTCATATTGGGCATTTACGTTCCCGGCCCTGGCCATTGTTGTCGTCGGAGCCGATCTTGAGTTCAATGTTGCCAATGTGAGTACGAAATCTCTCCAGCTGGGTGTTGTAGCATAGCTAATTCACCATTCCCAAGATGTATGTTCTTTCCTCCTTGCCCAAATCGCAACAGTCCATAGCCGGCTCTATCTTCCAAACAGTCTCAAAACTCGCTGTCACTATTGGCCTCGGCATCGGTACAGCGATCCTTAAAAGTGTTTCTGAGAATCCTGCAACCTCCGGCTACTACGCACACGATCCCTTTGAGCCATACTCTGCAACCTTTTGGTTTGCCATGGCATGTACCTTCATCAGCCTGCTCCTCGTGCCGTTCCTCAAGATTAAGACTCAGGGCCATGAATAATAGTATTAGAAGAGTCTCGGTGTCAACGTATCATTCCAGCTGTACATAGATCTGCAATTCAGAAAGACATGTTTAAGACTTGCCGTTGAACTTCCAGTTTAAGCACCAATAAAATATTGACAGATTGCGTCAGTGCCAGAGGAGGAAAAGTGCTAGCATTTAGCCTGGAGGGAAGATATGGCAACGGAAAGTGGTAGCTGCAAATGGCCAATCCAAACGAGAGGGTGCTTGAGTTACTGAAACTATTGTCATAAAGTCCGACTAGCACTTAATCTGATTGAGGAAGCCCTACGAATCACTCGGTTCGTTCCTACTGACTTCTATGCTAGGTTAGTGGCTACCCCATGTTGTGGATCCCCCACAATTCAGCCCAGTCTAACTCCTAATTACCCTTAAGACAGGAGAGCGGATTGCCCCTCACAATGATGACCATTTCAAAATACTCAACTCTACTATGAAATGATGTCATTTCCTACAGACGCTGCCTTGTTTTGCCGCAGGGGCGCGTCAGCTATTCTAACGAGCTAGGGAACGGGATTGACTTGATGCCTAACCCGAAAAACGCTGACCTTCTCAATCCGCTCCATCATCTCGAAGAAATCCTTCCCAAACCTCGGAAGCGATTTCTCGGACGAGTAGTAACCTCGAGTCTTCAACCTAACTCAATCAAAACAAGCCCCATTAACCAAACGTGACACCTACGGACCCTTGAATTTTGTCAACCTAATTGAAGGAGGTCTGGCCTAATCGAACATACCTGCATTATACCAGCTGCTCCGCTTAAGTCCATCCTCTAGGGATTTCCGTTTTGCGTGTTATCATCCAGCATCGTGCCCTAGCGGCCTCTTAAAGGCTGCTCCCACATTTCAATTCTACACACTTTATTGTAGATAAAAGTTATCCTATGCCATAGTTGTTCGTCCTCGTAGCACAATAGATACGTTCTCCCCATACCGTTTCACAGGTATGCTCCATTTTATGTTCAGCAAATCTTAACTCACGCTGAATAACGACATCCTTGGTTTTTATTTCCAGAACAGGTGCCTTCAACCGGTAGATTGCTTGTTCTAAATACTTAGGTTTTCCGGCATTTAAGAAACAATCTTGCTAGCCTGAGTACCGTAACTTGACCAGATGGTTGATTACGAAGTGCTGCAGAGTTGATACCCACTAGGATATTTTCCCCGAACTTTCTCTAGGAGATGGACTTCCATTGATGGACATTTTTAATACCTCGTCGATCGCCCGATTAAATTTGGAGCTAGTATTGGAGACTCGAACAACAGTTAGCTGCTTTAGAGCCCCATGGCAGCGTGCAAATAGGATACGTTATTATAGGCGCGTTAGTGGCGAAAACGAAGGTCTCTTTTCCGCCTCCGGAATACATCCATGATTCCAACGCAATATTGTTAAAGGTCGGGTGATCACTTACTCGACGTTTCCTCTTTACTGTAGCTTCTTTGCTACGTAAGGTAAACACGTCTTGGCTTCTGAAGAGGATAGTGTTGTCCAAGAATTGGTTATGCGAGTTACTTGGTCCTACCCTAGTATCCCCGCGGGCGAGTAAGCAACGGAAAAGGACCCTAGACGCAATTGTTACCTTAGTTCAGGATGTGAATCGCTTGTCTGGTGCTTGTATTTGGGATTCTTAGAAGGTGGGTACCTAGAATGTGAGGAAGTCGAAATATATAAAACGGAGGGTGCGGCTTATGCTTCAGTATTTGACCTCTGTGTCGACCAACCCCAAACATTCACTCGGTCTCGTCTTATGTGGTTGAATAATAGGGAGTATAGCGACGTCTTTCAAGATGTTGTAAATGCAACATTTAAGATTGATTAGGGTTGAATTTGATTGTACCCTCCACTAGCTACACGAGAAAATAATGAAGTACATGACTCTACAACAAAGCTTAAGTGAGTAATGCACTGTGGGATTCTTATATTTTCAGTAGTTATAAACTAAACTAAACGGATTGTATATAAGAGTACACTATATTAGCAAGTATGTAGTAGTAGAGCCTATTGTTTCCTCTTATTTTGCCAGGACCTTTGCATGCAGGAGCTCATCCAACTACTGACCCAAGGAGGAGTTTTGCCCCAGCCTGGCGCTTTTAAGTAAATGATAGACTTGTGCGTTTTATTAAGTTCACTGCTATTGGAGACTGGAAGTCTTCGCGGGGAATGGCTTAGTCGCGATAGTGCCATATGCTCAGCCTTCATACATTGTTCATGCGCTTTTCTATAGGGCATTAGCTCTACATCAAAGGATCTGCCATAGTTACATGTGAGTGATATTGATTCAGCTCCTTGAAAGTATCATGGCAAGGCCGATACCTAAATTAACCTCTCAGCTGCCCTTGTACAGAGGATAGGATGCTGAACGCTTACGCTCTACTTCCCCCGTCTTCCTGAGGATTGAGTTTTGGCGTTTAATAATACGAGTTCACGAATACGCGAACTTAATGATACCCTGAGCGCTTCGTTAGTGCTGAGCAGGGTTGAGGCGTCTCTGAATTTAAATTGTAGAGCAGATATGAAAGACACAACTAGAGATGTTTCCAACCATTCTTTACTAATACCTGCATCTCGTTGATAAGACAATAAATCCCTGGTTCTATCCTAGGGTTTTTTGTGGGGGACGCCGATTTCCACTGCCTTAGCCTTGAGAGTACTACTAGGTGTTGAAGGAGACGACTTGGAGTGCCAACCCATCGGGCCAACCGGTTGATCCATATTCCTGTAAATCGCGAGTGGAAAGATGGCCAAGAGTGATTTGGAGACGCTTTGACAATGTCATAAGCATCAACATTATATCCAACACGAACATCGGGATTCAGCCACACACCCTTTACACTGCTCAATGGATTATCGGCATGTATCAGACAACATTCGGATCCCTCAAGGTGCAGGGACGCGAGAGAATCGGAGATGCCACGAAATCTTAGAGGCGAGTTTGCGTAAAAAGGATCTGCATCCATGGCCACTATGCCATTCCAACAGGATTGCACTAGGACAGCCTGATCTGAAACGATAGCGGCGCGTGAGGCCGATGCTAGGAAATATGGCCACGTTTGGGTGACGGGTTGGGCTCCGCTGATATCGCGGAGAGCGAACGTATCATAATATAAAGGGGGTTTTGAGAAATCCAAAGCGCAGGCGGCAGCATAGTGGCCAGAGTTGGTAGATAGCAAGGTGAGAACATCGTCGACAGTGAAAACAACATCGTTCAGCCATAACACCTTCGTAAAAGGTCTGGGGTCGGTATCGTTGGCACGGGGCATCATGTCCATGACACGGTTGCGCAGGTTGGCCAGGTACGGTATCCTGCGCAATTCCATCTTTTTCCTTGCTGTCCACATCCAGCCATGTTTATCGGGAGGCGGAATCCGGGACATTTCGTCTTCATGCGTGCTTTCCTCGAGCACGATTGTATTCGGCACCTGCATGCCTAACAAATCGGCCTCCAGATCCCGAAGCGCGCCCTTGCTGTCGTCCCAGCTGCCGCTTTCCAAGACAGCAACATATGTGTTTTCAGCACCCAAATACTTTACAAGATCCACAACAGCGCGATTCCAATGCGACCTTAATATTTTCTCGTTGTTCCAATGAATACTTGCTATGAAAAAGCGCTCGTTGGGGTTGGGATGGTACGATGATGAGACGTTTTGGGTAGATGGGGAGCGCAACAGCTCGTAAGTGTCCCAGGTGAGAAAGAATGCAACATAGATAAGAGCGACTCTGAGCCAGATGCGTCGCGAACGGCGAAAAAAACGGCGAAATCTGAGATGCATAGTGGGCTAAGACTTTTCAGAGTTGGGGTAGGCTGCCCGCGGATTGTCTGAACCATCATCAGTGTCTCGTCAAGTCTCATCGCGAGTTGTCACATACTCAGTGGACCAGGGAAGAGTGGGCAGTCTCCATCAGGCCGGGTCGAAGTCGCGACTAGGTGATGATGGAAGTGTTGAGGTAGAAGCAGTGAAGTGAGTGTTGAGATGTCCTTACGTTCAAAGATTGGGAGTTCAAGCCTGCGGATAAGAGCTTGGCAGAGAGTGTGGCCAGCGTGCAAGCCTCCCCAGAACGTTGAAAGTCGCCGCGCCAGACTGCGCCAGGTCAGCCCCCGCAAAAGCCAAAAGCGGGTCAAGTTTGAGACATTGCAAGGCTGATAGACCTGTAACTGAACGTCATCTCCATCGTCCACACTCCCAACTACTGTACCACACCACACCTATGCAGCATGTCGATCTCGCATGCTCCGTACTTGGTAGGCCCATTGGACTGTATGCGCACCCTGTCCAGCTTGTTTGAAAATTGCAGGAGCTGTATTTATCTAGTGGTACGTTGCGTTGCGCAGTGCGATAAGTCATCTGTTACAAGATTGCATTCCTTCCTTCTGTTCTCCCGTTCCCTCCGGTATGCTATCAAGACCTTGGCTAGCCTCTGGTCGGTTCTCCAATTGCACGTGCTGCCCACCTTGACTTCCACTACGCCAGGCAGTAAGGAGTTGCAAGACCTCTCTTTCCTCTCAATCGAACTAGCTGTACGGATTTGGCAAACCGGTCGCTCGGAATGGGGCATATGTGGAATGCCGCATTGCCGGTCCTTGTACCGAGTTTCTCAGCACAAGCAAATGTCAAGTACATCCCGCACCTCTTGGGGGCGATAGAGAATACGCCCTGCTGCTAATGAAGGCGAAGCGCTTCGTCAGGGGTTCGTGCCTGCAGCAGCTCGAGATCTATACGTGGGGTTACGCCAGCCTTGCAAATACACATCCGTTTCCTCCCCAATCGAGCAGCTGGTGTTGCTGGGCCACGTCCGTTGCTAGTTCTGGGCGTCCCCATTTCAACTTGTTCATAACTTTCTGTATCAACAATTATTTCGGTTAGGGTTTCTTCAAAATATACTGCTGACACCTTGCAAGCTCTAGGAAGTCACTATTGTCCAATTATCTCAGATAGTGCAAACGCATCAACCTAACTTCGAGTCATCGTTCTTTTGTGTGTGATTGGTTTATTTCCCCTCTTATTCGCGCACACAATACCTGCATGCGACAGAGACTAGATTTCAACAGGATAGTGCTGAGAAGGTTGATAAGAATGCGGTATGCGGTGCTCAATGTTCCCATGACCTTGGCATCACTTTGTGCAATTGGTCCTCTTCTACACAACTTTGTCATGAAAATGACTAACTAGGATGGATGTAAGGTTAACAACGAGCACGACTATAGAAGAATAGGGCCCGGATATAGCCCAAATTTCCAGCTAGTCTTTTCTCGCGTTTTTATAGACTGCCGTATGTATGTCGGCCAGATAACTGAGGAACAATGTTTGCAGTAGTCACACGATAGTCGGATGCGTCGTCACCATGGTCGTATGCATCTCACGATGGTCTATGTTGCCAAGACTTACCCACTTGTTTCGCACATATATAGACTCCGACGAGCACTCCTCTGGCAATCAATGCAGTTCAGTTTCTCTCATCTCTGTGCCCCCACAAGCTTCACAAACAACATCTTGCGTTCGGGTTCAGAAAAACTGATCGAACCAAACTTTCTCTCAGGTTTGGCGCGCACTTCTTCATCTTGACAATCCGTGATATAAGTCCGCATAACGTCTTCAAGTTCAAGGATCTCCAGTGCCTGATTGTCGGAGTTGATCCTTCGACAGACTAGCAAATTTCTAAGTCTGGTATCCGGCAAGTCAGCCACATGGGGAATTGCAATAAGAGCAATAAGATGCTTATAAGAGTGAGGCAGTTCTATTGAGGTCTCCGCTAGCCTTCTGTTCTTGGAAAAGCCCTAACTTTGTCTCAAGAAATGAAGAAGGCGCGACTGCCAGCCCTCGAAATGCTTGGGGGGATCTGTGGAGGCAGGTGCGATTTGACGACAACCCGAGCACCGAAGCAAGCACCGAAGAAAGACACAATGCTGCAACACTACATTAGCCAGACAGGATACGTCGAAGAATGCCTCTGGTAGCAATGCGACCCAAGTGATCATGATGGGACTCAAATACGACTGGAGCGATCGACCGGCTCTCAAATGTAAAAATCCATAAGTCTCGGGAGTTGAAGAAATGAAAGGAGACGCGAAAGGGTCGACTGAGATCGGCAGCATAGCGAAGATGTTGCATCTGCTCCTCACACTTTACAAAGGATGTCGGCTCGAGCAGGTCGGCTGAGGCTTTTCGTGCTATCCGAGAAAAGTACAAAGGTGCACCTATAAACAAAAACCCCTTAGGCACATGCCGATATCCATTGACATGGCTTCTAGTTTCTGCAAGGAAGTCTTCGAAGGTTTCTACCAGACACATAGTGAAACGGCCCTGACTGAGAAGTGCGAGCACTACGTTTTGGACAAACGAGACAGGAGGAGATGGAAAGTACTCGGATGCTCCATGTCATCCTCTGATCCCGCTCCATGAGCGGCCAGTACCCTTGGGAGGCAACAGATCTGCCGAATATACCCACGACGCTGAGCCTGTTTAATATTCCAGTCCAACGCACGCCATTCCTCACAGCTTTCCCATTGTTGAGTTTTTGTGGCAGCCTCCGCGGCCAGATTTTGGAGCTCGAGTTCCGAGGCTGAAAAAAGTCACCTCAAACAGCCACCCGTCGGGCAGCAAAGCGCCAAGATTGCAAGAGAGATGATTGGACAAGTGGACCTTCGCAACAATCCCCTTGAAGTTCACGCGCGCTGCAGTGCTGCTTTCAGAAATAACAGTTACAGTGTCGCCCTTTAGTATGAGAATGTCCGCGGCTCTGTGCTGATGACGGAAATTCGGTGTCGAAACTATTTTGAGGAATATTATTTTGAGAGTTCCGTCCACGGTTCCCATCTCCCCTCACGGGGGTGTTTCATGTTGGAAGCTTGTTCGTATTGTGGCGCTTATCGTACCTGTACCTGCATACGACAAGCACGAGCGGCTGAGGCGGCGCCCCCAGCGGCATTGTGCTTTTCCCAGCGGACAGTTGAGGGCCAACGGCGAAAACAAAAGCTGCTGGAGGTGGGACAAGACATGGAAATAGGATGGAAAGGTCCTGGTGAAGAAACAAGAGCGTGCTCCAAGCGATCAGCAAGGTGTTTGTCGGCCCGCCGACCAAGGAGGCGGGTGATCAGCGCTCGGACCTGCATTCTTCAACTCCTTAATCTCAGGGTTCCAAGGCACGCCCTCGTCCACCAACCCGCCTCTAAACCACCTTGTAAAACGCAGCCCTGCTTCTCTCTCCCTTTCACTGCACATTCTCTTTTCTCCTTGTGAGAGTCCGCTCTTTTGCAACTCATTGCCCGTCAATCCTTGATCTCCCATCGCGCGTCTGGAATACGTGCAACCACACTCTTTGTAACTTCTATACATTCTCCAATTGACCGCCACCATGGTGTCATTTATCTTGTCTGCCGTCGTGCTGCTCTCCGCACTCCTGCCTGTGACCTTCGCGCAGACGCATACCGACTGCAACCCTCTCAATACTACAGGATGCCCTAACATGCCTGCACTCGGCGGTAATGCCTCATTTCACTTCAACTCTACATGGTCTTCGAAGCTTTGGAAAACCACAAATGGCAAAGTTGACCAATATGACGACGGTGCTAAGTTCACTATTGCGCGAAGCGGCGATTCTCCCACCATTGCATCCTCCTTCTACATACTCTTTGGACGAGTATCTATTGTCATGAAGGCCGCGCCCGGCCAGGGCATAGTCTCTAGTGCAATCCTGCAATCCGAGGACCTGGACGAGATCGACTGGGAGTTCTTGGGTAGCAATACCACTCACGTACTCACCAATTACTTCGGGAAAGGCAACACCACCGATTATACCCGCGGCAAAGAATTTGGAACGGAGAACCCGCAGGAAAAGTTCCACACTTACACAATCGACTGGACGAAGGAGCGCATCCAGTGGTGGGTCGATAACAACATGCTTCGAGAGTTGAAGTACGCAGAAGCGCTCGGCGGGAAGAACTATCCCCAGACCCCCATGAACATTCGCCTGGGTATTTGGAGTGGTGGTGACGTGAAGAACAACGATCCCGGCGTGGTGGCCTGGGCTGGTGGCAAGACCGACTTTGACAAAGGGCCATTCACCATGTTCGTCCGCGATGTGTATGTCCAGGACTATACTACTGCTAAAGAGTATTCATGGGAGAACATGGATGCCAGTGGCAGCTTTGAGAAAGTCAAGGTCATCAAGTACGTTGACGAACAAATCTGTATCTATTCCTTTAGCTAACCTATCCCAGTGGTACTTCCGACGCTCTCACAGAAGCTCACAAGCCCCACGGCGTGAAGAACCGCTGGAATGCCCTTTCCAAAGGCGTCCAGATCGGGATTATTTCTGGCGTTCTCGGCTTCGTTCTCATCTGCATTATTCTCATCACGATCTGCTGCGTCAAGCAGCGCCGCGCCGGCAAACGTGAGTTCGCTGCCCTCGAGGCCGAGCAGAACAAGGAAGCATCTGAGCTTCTCGCATATAAGCAACAGATGGCAAGTGGCAGATTTGGATACGGCAACAATCGCGTATGAGAGCATTGGCAGGATTGCATTCGAAGTCGCGATGAGAGAGGGGTGCAGGGATAGTAATGTTTCAGAGCATGCCAAGGGTCTCACTTGTCCGCTCGAGTCCCTTCGTCCCTGCATTGCCCTACTCACCAAATCGGCAGCTCCTTTAGCGACAAGCGGATGGATAACGTGGTTGACTTGATGGTGTGGAGGAACAAATTTGGACTACACACTGGTTGAGAACGTCCCTTTCACGAAACACTGATACCCTCCTGTGGCACGGCAAGCCTTTCAAGCATCTGTGTATCTATTTCCTTTAATCACGTGAGGCTTGATGCCATGCTGTAGAGATGAAATCCCAGCCTTTTCCAATTTTCGAAAGATCGATAGGAGAGTTTACGTGCCGGTACCGCAACGCTTCCCAAGTTGGCGGATGTTTGTTGAGCCACGAGTGTGGCGAATAGGTGTGGCGTAAGTGAGTGATCACAAGATTGCTCCGACATTTAGTAGGGAGTGGACAGATGGACAAATCTCGTATTCAGCCCGTAAACGGAAGCTGAATTACGTAGATCCAGCATCATCTTACAAGCCCTTGAAAAGCAAAAACAGCAGCAGCAATCTTGGCAACCGTGGGGAGACTTCGGCGCTTTCAACGTCACTCACTCCACATCTCCACGACTCCAAGTGTCCACTTGACTCCCACAAAGTGACTCTGCCACAATTAGCAGCCCACGCCATCACATGGTTGCGTGCATTGCGTCTCTCCATATAATCCCGGCATAGAATGAGGGTCGCGCCTGGACGGTTATGCACGATATTCTACAAGTCACATTACCCACCTTGAACGATTTACTATTCACTGCTCTCGACCAATACGAGCACACCACACCTACCAATTAAGCAGACCGGCTACGATACGGCTATTTAACGGGCCATAGACACCATGATGAGTCCTGGCAGACAGGGTTCTTTTCACGATGCAGTGCTTACCCCTCCTGCCTCGTCCGTCACGACTTCACATCATCCCTCACCTCTTCCGCGCCCGCGACAACATCCACTTAAGCCCGGCGGAGTCAAGGAGAGCTCGTTGATCAGCTATCTGGACCAGACAGTCAAGGCTGTGAAGAGGCGATGGGCAAAGCGCATGTTCAAAGACGAAGAGCTTGGACAAGGCGACGTGAAAGGATATCATCATTTCCGAGAAGCTGCAAAAGATATCGAGGACCTGGTTGATGTCATTTGGGTATCTGGATCTCGTAAGTTTTCCTCCACCTCAGCACCATCCTAGCCCCTCTCCCCGTGTACCCTTCATTCTGTTGACCAAGTCTTAACGTTCTACGTTTTAGCAAACCTCCAAACCCCCTACCTCCTCACAATTGCTCTCATGATTACTGATTTCTTGCCCGGCTTTCCTCCCTCTCCTCGCATAACCTTCCGCCTCCTCGATAAGATGGACCATGCCTTCTCCTCCCTTCTCCAAGGAAAAGACTCCGATACTGGTGACATTCTCCCTGGTTTTGAAAACGGGAGGAAGCTGAGTACGACGGATAAAGTCAGGCTCAAGAGTCTTGTAGAGAGGACGAGGTTGACGGTCGTGGACGTCTTGGGTGACGACAACGCCGATGGCGAGAAAGAAGATGAGAGTATGGGAGAGGGAACGGACGGTGAAGACACGGTGAAGTTCGAGGGCTTTGGGAATGAGGATGAGGATGAGGATGAATGGGAGGAGATGGAGATTGCGAAGGTTTATGAGCGGACGATTGGGGAGTTGGGAGATGTGCTTGGTGGTCCACCGATTGGGATTATCACAGATGATTGATGCAGAACATTTCATAGATTGAAGGTCTTGTATGGTTTCTGTGTTTCATTTGGTTTGCAACATGCAATGTCGCTTATGGCTCGATGAGCGGCAGCGACAGCGACAGCATTTTCTCAAGATATCCCAAAAATTTTCGTCTCCAACCTTTTCTCTTCTCTTCATACTGGTAGGCTCTTGCAAGAGAGGAACCAGACACGAAGTGGGCTGACAAGGAGGTATGATCTCCGTCATCGGCTTTCATCGGCCCATGCCCGCATAGCGGTCAGTGAAGGTTGCGAGGTGCGATTCCACGTGGCTACCATTCGAGGCAGCTGGTGATAGATGACGTAGCGCGTCTTTCACCACCCACACCCGACCAGACGCCAACGGCAACAATCGCAATCGTAGGCATAAAAAATCATCGCCGAGTCAATGCCACAAGCGTCTCCGCTCTTCCTTTCAGCCTCAACCCTCATCTATTTGCGCGCGTCTCCCGTTTTAATGTGCTCTCTCCTTTGAGTATCTATCCTATAGCTGGACCCTCCACCGCTCTAGCTCGGCATGCCGGCATACCGGTCAGCCGGCATCCGCGTGCGCATCGGCGCCGCGAGTCTTGCCGATACCATCACACCGGATCTCGAATTGCTCAAAGCGAAAGCGCGACCAAAGAGCGAGAGAGCGGAGGACCGGCTGCGGAAAGGTGAGCTACTTGTGGAGGAGAATGTGCCGTTTCCGGGGGATGAAGAGTGCATGGGGGTTAATTTCCTCGGGAACGTGCCGTTTCTGCAGGCCCGGGTTGGGAAAGACTTGTTCAAGAGCGGAACGGGAGACAATGGCGAGGGGAAAGGCGTGGATTGTGCGAAGAAGAATGGGAGAGGGCAGGCATTTACTGGAGCTGGAACTGGAGGACATCGCTCACAAGGGCCGGCGGCGAGAACGCGTTCGCATACCCCGGCGGCGGGAAGTGAAGCACACGTCGAGCTGCCACCCCATGGCGCCGCTGGGTTTGATCACACCGACTCAGAACCCAAAGCACTTGCAGTCCATGTCCTACTCACTGATACGACATTCTTCCCAGGGCTCTATGATAAGCCACGGCACTTGAAGATCGAAGTCTTCTTCAACGGTATTCTAGCTAGCTGCGTCCGCGCTCACCCTATAGAAGTGCGGCAGGATAATAGCCTGTATCATCAGATGTTCTCTGGGTCGCGGATCGAGTGGCTCGCTGAGCGGCCCTGGGTGTTTCTCCCTCCGGGGCAGAATGCTGACGGGAGTTTTCGAGGTCCTAGTATGACGATTGGTGCGCAAGAGAGGTGGGGTCAGATTTGTGCTGCGCTGTTGGAAGAGGCTGATGAGCGGGGATTCGATGAGAATGGGGAGCGGCCCCCGAGTGCGGCCTACTTGGAGAGTTTGGCGGTTATGCAGATGCCGGAGGATGTCAAAGACATGCAGAAGCCGGGAGGGCGGAGCTTTGGCGTTGTTGATGTGGTTATCGCGTATGGACAGGGGAAGAAGTTGACAGCTGGTGTGTCGTATTTGAAAGAGGTGACGAGGATGGTGGATGGGCGGTATACGAAGCGAGACAGAGGTAAACAAGAGGAGGTAAGAGATTCTTTGGAACTGGTGATTCCAAGTCTTTACTCACAGTTAGCAGGAACCAGGTAGACCAGCAGCCAGCCCTACCAGTCTTCCGCCCCTTCCCCCGTCTGTATTTAAGTTTGGTGCTGCAGCTTCGTCAGCGTCACAGGTTGATGGGCCAGCGTCCTGCTCTTCTGATCTTGATGCAGAAGGAGATACGGACTCCGACTATGAACCGGTTAGCCAGGTTACAGAGGGGGGGCACGGACTGGCATGGACGCAACCACAGCTGATGCCCGTGACACAAGAGTCATTCCTCCCCCAAGTTTCGACTCCACTAACCCAATTCCCGCCACACCCGCCTATGGTTCCGATGCCAGACTTTCAGAGTCCCTTTCCGGAGTTTGCGAATCAATTCGGAAGCCAATTCGGAATGGCCCCCTCTACCCAATTTCCCATACCAGCAGGATTCCCAGAGGTATCAGAACGATTAAGGATTAAGGCGCAAAACTTCTACCAGGCTACCCCATCTCACTTCTCCTATGAACCTCCGTTGAGGGGCCTCACTGCTCCCCCTCCACCCCACGGGTTCGCTATTCGTCCAGGAATGAACCAAGGATTTGAGGCCCCTTCGTTGCCAACTCAAGAGCTTGCTCCGTTCCAGCAACATCTTCAAGGCTTCGGCTATTCTCCAGAATCGAACCAGGCAATTTCAATGTCGTCCTCTACCCAAGGCCCTGCGGTTTCTCATGCACCGCACCCCGGCCTTACTTTTCCTACAAAACCAGTTCATAGCTTCGAAATGCCTCCACCAACAAGCATACCAATTCATGGAACGTCAGCACCTTCTCTAAATACTCCCATGCAGACGCATGCATTTTCCAGCCCTGCACATTCACCATACAAGAGAAGCCGGCATGTCTCAATGGGACCCGTCAATGTGACTTCATTCGACCCCAACGCTCCTCCATGCGATACGACACCTTCATATGGTATTTCGCATCGTGGGATGTTCACCCAGGCTGGAAGCCCTACAGATATCTCATCACAATCGCAAAAGCAAAGAGCTAGCGGGCAAGGTTACGTTCACCTCGAGTATAACCCGTTTGCAGCACAGCGAAATCCCTTAGCTGAAGGGCCATTGCCACCTGTTGGGCTCTTTCCTGTAACCAAGCGGCCTCGTCCAGGTTCTTTTGATGAGGTCGTGGGCATCATTGACCCCAATCAGCCTCGATCTAGTATTTTAGTGGATCGTCTTGTTATTACGGGAAAGCATGGTGCACATATTGTAGATCACCAATGGAAGATCGCGCAGAGGGTTGCCGTGAAGCATGAATACCCGATTCCACGGCCCTCGCGGACATCAAGGCTCCAGGAATCCCCAGAATCAGCAGAATACATTCAGCCTTCCACTATATCTCGCCGTCGAACGAGGAACGCGCAACCAGTAGATCCGACAACCCCGCCTCTGACTTCTCCTGGCCCAACACAGGATCTTGACATGACAGTGAGCGTGGACAGGACAAAACGTGGAATTATTCATGAGGGAAATCTGGCCCAGATTTTCGGGAAACCGCCGACCATGGGACCTACGCTGAGTAGTGAATCATACGGCTGGGCTATTCCGGGTAATGGAAGTGAGAGGGAAATAGGTGAACAGGGCGGTGATAATTCTTGTAGTGATGATGGTGTTCAAACGTTGCCAGCAACGCCTGTTGTAGCATCGAATTCCCGGGTTCCGGAATCCTCGAGCGACGTGGGGGATTTTCAGCAAGCGAGGGGGAAGATGAAGAGCAAGCAAAAAGAATTAATGGTACAGGGGAATGAGAAACCTGTAGTGGTTCAACATAAGGCTTCGAAAGTTAGCGCTAGGCAAGCCCGTCGTAGGCCCTCGACCGTTGTTGAGTTTCTGGGGGACGATGATGGTGAGAGTTCCGAGCTTTCTAGTGTTCCGAGTTCTCCGGAGCCAGAAGTGAGGAATGTGGGTAGATCAACAGTAAGAACCATTATCCGCTCACTCTGCCCAGAACCACACTAACACATCCTACAGCGGCGCAATCCCAACCTCCTCGCTAGCACCAACGACTCCGACCCTGATTTCACGCCTATCACCGCAGCATCTTCCTCCTCATATAGGCAAACCACCCAGTCTCAACTCCAACTCGGAAGTAAGGTTCAGCGGGTGCGCCAACCCCGACGCCTTGATCCTGAAATTTTCGTCGATAACCCTGCGCTGAATCAGGATTGTGCGATCGCGTTTGCACAGGCGGGACCTTGGGCCAATGGTCTGGGTCTAGAGACTGCAGCTACGGATGGCGGGGAATGCGTGGTGTTGAGGCAGGTTAAGGCGGAGAGGATGGGATGGTTTTCCGAGGAGGGAGTTGTTATTGGGGTGAGGTATTTTGTTGAGGGATAGGGCGGGCGAGAATGAGGTGGCGAGGTTGTGGAAGTATGTGAGGGCAAGGAGAGGGATGAAATGTAAGATAGCTAGTAAGGGTGTGTGTGAAGGATTATCCCGAGTGAGAGGAGACAGGGGCTTTTAGGCCTCGAGGTTATATGTTCAACAAGGATTGAGAATTGGTATGTATGGATTCTCCGAATCTCTGAATACCGGTTAATCTTCCACACTTTCCCTCTTCCATAACTTCGAAATGCCATCTCCCTACTCTAAACTGCCCTGCTCAATCCCAGTCCTTCCCCCTCTCAACCCAACCTCAACAACCCCAAATGCACACCCCACGGGCTCATACACGTCCCAAACCACCAACCCTTCGTCCGTCTCCTTAACTAACCTATCCCAATGCCCCCGATCCCTCTCCCTCGCATTCGCATACCCTAGCATTTGAATATCCGCACTCCTCGCTCCCCTTTCCACAAACGTAGGCACAGTCCCTGGTTCCGGTAACACTACCTCCAGGAGCGCTATCCTCGCAGCGGGATTAGCTTTGAGTTGAGGAAGGAGAGACGAGAGGATTTTGACGCAGTATTTATCAGACCAGTCATGCAAGACAAAGCGCAGGAGAAATACATCCGCAGCTTCGGTCTGGGGCGTGAAGAAATTATGGGGTTGGAACTGTATCCTATCTCGCACTTCCTGGGGTATTTCTTCGCTCTTGACAGACTCGATTGTGGAGGGTAGATCTTGCACAATAAAGTTCGGATGGGGGAGTTGTTGCGCTAACGCAATCGACACATGGCCCGTTGACCCTCCAATATCCACAATCGTACTCCCGGGCCCCAGCCTCTTAAATACCGGCGCGGAAGCTGCGAGGCCGGCGTTAAACGCGCCTTCGGATAGAAATCCTAGAGTCTGGTGGTAGCTTTGAAGACTGGTTTCACGGCCTGGCTTGCTCATCCAATCGAACCACGTCTGCTCAGTTTTGTACGCAAAGTTAAACGGGGATTCGTTCGGTTCTTGGGAGTTTTGATTTTGTTGGAGGGATTCTGGGAGCGAGAGGAAGGCGGGGAAAATATCGTCGAGGTTATGCCGCAGAACGCCGCGAAGGCGGGGGGAAGTCAGTAGTGCGAGACTTGTGGGCGTGTGGGCGACACCGACGCCCTCTTTGATGGATTGTACTGAGTCCTTGTTCCTGGTATGTGAGTTGGAGGTCGGATTGTACTGCACTTCGGTGAATATCCCCGTGGTGGATGCGTATCGGATTATGCGTTTGAGAATATCAGCATTCAGTCCGGTTCTTTTACTAAGCTCTTCGTAGCCGATACATCCGTTTATTGGTACCGCCTCAGGGATATTGTAGTAATTGATGGTTCGCAGTACGCCAATGTCGACCTTCATGCTTACGAGCGGATGTATTAATGCGTCTATAGGACCAAGAACGAGTTCGGCAAGATCACGACATAGTTGTGCGATGGACATGCGGGACATATGGATTTTGGGCGGGCAGTCTGGGGGTGGGAAGGAGGGGATGGAAGTGGAGAATTGGGGGTGTGGGAGGTTGCGGTTGGTGAGGAAGTTGGTTATTATGGAGGTGTGGTGGGTTATTAGGGATGCGAGATCTGTAAGGACTGGGGGAGAGGGTGATTGCTGGGAAGGTTGGGACATGGTGGAGGAAGGAAGATATGGTGTGATAGGTATAGAAGAGGAAATGGATGATGAAGTTTTCCGCGGCGGCTGCGAGTGTCAAAATGTCGCTGGAAGATTTTATGGATGGTCGTCGGACATATGCAAGCGATGGCCATCGACAATCAAGGGTGGAAGGGTGATTAAGAGGAAGCTCTCTGATTGGCCGAATGCGCAGAGATGAGATACAATCTTCCCGAATAAATGAATCCACAACGGCAATTGGATCCCCACATCGCATTGCAGGTTCACAAGGAAGCTCATTTAGCAACTGAAGAGTTTCGGTGTGGAGAAGGACCGCTCAATGTAACCATCTCCGGATTTCCTACCTCTTCTTCTTTTCGTAGAAGATTTGTGAGGCTTCGTTTCTAGCTTGTCTTTGCATTTTCGAAGCAAGTGGCGCGAGGTCATCCTTTAGTATTACAATTACACCATCGAAGAGTCCTCGAGCGAGAAAAATTAAACCTAAAATGTACCACCATGAACCCACCTTCAAGTCGGACGGTCTAAAGAAAGCTGGTCACCATCAGGAAGGCATTAATAAGTGTTTTCTCTATATTTAGGTTCAGTTATCAAATTAGAGTCTTGTGGATATGGAACAATAGAATAAAAATGAGGAGCGAAAGGCGATATTTGACTAGGTTAATTGACGAAGCAAAGATGGGAAAAATCTCATTCAAACTGCGGCTCCAGCTTCATTGTCACGATTAACTGGGACATGCCTCGGACTACCCCCGGAGGGCCATCGCCACGTGGCCTAGTACATATATATATATCCTTTCTCAAACCAGCAAGTCTCCTATCTCATGTTACTTATTGATATTTTCTTCACTGCACGTCCTAGGAGGATTGAACGCGTTCATGCCACCCCTAGCCAGCAACGCAAAATACTTCACATTCATGCACCCAAAGGAGAGAATCGTTTTGCTGGGGATTCCTTACTATGGATTTTCTATTTTGCATCAAGTTCCCTAAGGCTGTGGCAATCTATTGTCTCCAAGTAGAATCAAAAAGCTACGGTCTATCACTGTTAAGCGAGAAACCCTGTTGAATTCGATGAAAAAGAACTGTCCTGGCAACCGAACTAGGCTTTATACCTCAACACCTAGCTAGTTTAGGTCTAGATTAGGGGTAGCGTCGTCAACAAGCTAGCTTAGTGCCTCTTGAAATACAACAGATGTGTGCCGCAGTTTGCTTCATTTCCTTCCTAACGCGGCCAGGTAATCTCTGGCTGATACCCCTGGGCACCAGCCCATTATAAATACCGTGAGAAAAACAAGGGGTAGCTAATCTAAAGCCAAAGAAGTGGAGGGCTTCTAGGCTAAGAAGAGAGTTAAAGATAGTAAGCTTATCTTGTTTCCAAACAATTCCGTGCTAGACTAATAGCTTTACACCCTGTAGTATAAAAATAGAAAAGATTGCATAACTATGGAAAGCAAATAAGTTTTGCAGACACTAAAATTTACTAGGATCAAGTTATATACAGCTGTTGTTATTCACTTGCAGTCTTTTTAGAAGAGTAAAGAGATAAAACTACCTCTAACTCTACATAGAGAGGGAGGGTCTAAATAGCCTACTAAAGGCTTGTAAGCGCACTAAGTGTAAGGCCGAGATGACGCTTACATGCGACAGGTATATATACTATTCTGCACGCAACAATCAACTGTTGGTTGATTATTCACACCTTTTTGGTTGTATTGGCGCAGTGGTACAGAGCTCCGTCCTTACACTAAGCATAGAAGACAGCATCTTAAGTTTACTAATAGAGCTGCAGAGACGCTATAGAATAGTTATAATAAAGCGAAGATATTTAACGCAGTGCAATTCTGCTCGGAAGGCTTCTGCTAAGAAAAGCAGCTGTGATGGGTTAGACCCATAAGGACCTGCAAGCGGACCAGATCAAAGATCTGGGACCCGGTATCCGGGGGACATCCCATCTCGCTCATAAAATCGACTATGAAAGCTGGTTCCTCGTTGATTCAACTGATGCATGCCTTTTAGCTGTCGCTTAGTGCATATAGCTGTGTCGCTGATCCTATGGTCCTATGGATCTGAGCGCCCGTTACAGCAGCAGTATAGACAGTTGACAGAGCTGTACCTACACACTGCTACTAACTTCTTACTTGCCTATAACACGCTGCTGCAGAGTAAGGCGCGCCTAGAAGCGAAACTACCTAATTTCTTTCTAGTCTTACTGCTAAATAAAGGGCTAACGGACTACTACCGAATAATTAAAATTATAGATAATAGCAAGATAAATCTAATAGAGCAGTTAGAGTACAGAGCTGTTATAAGGCACTAGAATCTGCTCCTATGCACTATAGCCTATGCAGCTTTCTACCTCTTCTAACTACTGCAAGAACATTATAAGCGAGCTACCCCCTAGCTTTAGTTAGCACAAGCTTTAGTATAACCTATACCTAACTAAGAGAGAGCATGTGGCAAAGAAGATAGCGTACAACAAGCAGCTAAACTAGATTAATAAGCTATTTTCTAGAGCAAATGTTATGTGGTTAAAGAAAACGCACGCTAGCTAATTACAAGAAACAAAGCATGCTAAGCGTAAAAGTGTTAGCAAGGGTTAAATCTGCTGTGAAGGACAGTAGAATAGCAGCGCCCTAACAAATTGCTACCTCAACTACCTTCCGCGTAAGTTTATGAGGAGCATGGCTGGCTTTAGCCTATCCGCGTAAGGTAGCTTTTAACTGCCGCAAGCGAATGTGTTGGTTTCGCGATTACTTGAATAGGCCGTGTGGTCCTTTGTTGACGAGTGGCTGGACTGGTTTGACTCGTACTCGGACGGTGACAGCGTGGAGAAGCAGGAGAGGCAGGAGAAGCAGGAGAAGCAGGGGCAGAAGGAACAGCAACAGAAGAAAGAGAAGAGGAGGAGGAACAGCAACAGAAGAAGGAGGAGAGGAAGAGGAAGAGGAAGAGGAAGCAGCAGCAAGGGAGTGGCAAGGTGACAGTAGCGGCAGCAAAGGATTTCGACAACCTCATAGCTCAGGGCTCCCTACGTTTATTACAGCAGCTTTGCATTATCCTCCTTTAGGACTTAGTAGTTATAAGGCAAGAGGTTCCTGTGCACCTAATCTAGGTCAGTCTTATCTTCTCTTAGACTGACTACCTAGCGTTTGCGAACGATGTAGAGCTCTCACTACTAGACGTAGAGGAGCCTGGAGAAGTGCAGGTTTGAAAGACACTCCCTGTAATTACTAAACAACTTAGCGTCCTACAGCAGGGCCTCACGCGAGAGGTTAACAACTAGGGCGCAGAAACAAGAGAGCAGCTTAACAGTATTAAGATACAGTTAGGAGACTTACTTAAGACCTGCATCTCTCTAACTCTACAGCCTCTGCGTTGTACAATATTAGCAGCTTCTACCTCTACAACGCCTACTTTAGCAGCGATGGCAGTAAGGTCCTTCTACTCTAAATTAGCCTCCCCTTGTCCTAAAAGCACTCCATTACTACAAGAAGAGGAGCCGTCACCACTAGAAGCCCTCTCCCGTGCAGTAGCAACCGTCTTACAACTGTGGAGGGAGTGGACTGTGGCCTAGCCCGTGGCCCGTTCGTGCAAGGAATAGAGGATCTGTACGGGTCCCGCTGGCGCCAGAAGCACAGCGAGCAGGTGCTCTACGGGCGGAAAGTTATTATTAATGAGATTCGGAGAAGACAGGCGCAAGGCATGAGTACAGTCGCAGCAGTGGAGGGAGTAGAGTCTATTCGGCAGCGGGCCAAATTGTCGCTCTATCAACTGTACCAACTCCTTAATAAGTAGAAAAGAAGTACTTCATGGTTTGCTGTAAATGTCACGATTATGCACGAGTAAGGTTATAGAGCTTCGCGGAGGTCTAGTTCAATTACTACGTGAGGTATCATAGTAGGTACAAGACATTGTGTAAGGAACAGGAAGGTTTAGAAGGAAATTAGTAATTAAATACTTAGCTTAAAAGTCTAAGCACTTTAAGTATAAATTAAGCTTATTCTAAGTTTAGTTAGTGTTAAGGCAGTTTATGCTTAAGTTTATATCTATGTTATGTTATATTTATGTTAGATGTGCACTAATAATACTCTAGTACACATCTAATACAGTTATGTCTAGGATCTAGAGAGGATACTATAACAGTACCTTCTCTCTTATTAGGAAAAGAATTCTTTATATTAGTAGTTCTAGCATTAAGTTATCTTTATTAGGGTATAAGTTTAGTTTAGATAGGTATTAGGCGTAGAATTAGGTTACTGTAGAGTTCTTTTATAAGGCTTCTATAGGTTCCTACAACAGTTTGTTATATTTAGTCTATTTTATAAAGTATTTATAGATATGTTTTTTTTTATTAAACTAGATTTATTTAATGTCTTTTATAACATATTTTAGTTTATTATTTATAATAATAGGTTTAGGTAGCAAGTTTAGCTGTCTAGGTAGATAGTTAGATTTAGAGGCTACTTAGCGCAGCAA